TCTGGTGGCCTACGCTCCACAGAGATGTAAAGGAGTATGTGTTGGCCTGTCCCACTTGTGCCAGAAATAAGGCCTCACACCAGCCTCCCTCGGGTCTGCTACAGCCCCTTCCGATTCCTTCACGTCCATGGTCCCATATTGCCATCGACTTCGTCACCGGTCTCCCTGTCTCTCGAGGTATGTCCACAATCTTCACCATCGTAGATCGTTTTTCCAAATCGTGTCATCTCATCCCTCTCAGGAAGCTTCCCTCGGCCTTCCAAACCGCACAGCTCCTAGTGAAACACGTCTTCCGTTTACACAGCATTCCCCAGGAGATCCTCTCAGACCGTGGCCCCCAGTTCATATCTCAAGTTTGGAAGGCATTCTGTTCAGCTCTGCGCTGTAAATCATCATTAACATCCGGTTATCATCCTCAATCCAATGGCCAAACTGAGAGAATGAACCAGCAATTAGAATCTACCCTCCGTTGCCTCACTTCAAACAACCCCACCGACTGGAGCCAATATTTACCATGGATCGAATACGCCCATAATTCACAGAGATCTGCTTCCACCGGCCTATCACCCTTCCAGGTCAGTCACGGTTACCAACCTCCACTTTTCCCCGCAGATGAAAAAGAGATTTCAGTCAAGACCATTAATCAACACATCCGACGCTGCCAGAGAATTTGGAAGGAAACCATCTCCACTCTCAATAAATCTTCTGAGAACTCCAAACGTTTTGCCGACTCCAAGAGACGTCCCGCTCCCGAGTACTCCGTAGGCCAGGAGGTATGGCTGTCCACTCGAGACATCCCCCTCAAGGGGATGTCTCGAAAACTCTCCCCGAGGTTCATTGGTCCGTTTAAGGTTTCCCAGGTCATCAACCCATCTGCAGTCCGTCTCCAGCTACCTCCGTCCCTACGCATACACTCCACCTTCCATGTCTCTCAAATTAAGCCCGTTGTCTCAAGCCCTCTGTGCCCACCGTCCGACTCCCCACCACCCGCCCTGGAAGTTGATGGTCACCCCGCGTTCACCGTCCGTCGCATCGTGGACTCCCGTCGGCGAGGTCGCGGCTGGCAGTACCTCGTCGACTGGGAGGGCTACGGACCGGAGGATCGCCAGTGGGTTCCCAGGCTCTTACATCCTCGATCCTTCCCTGATCGAGGAGTACGAGCGTTCCTGTCCATCAACCTCTTCCGGACCGCCAAGGGGCGGTCGTTGAGGGGGGGGGTACTGTTGGAAGCTGGAGAAGTACCACCTTAAACTTTTACACCTGTTTCCGTCTGTGTTCTGCATATTTGGGTCTCTTTTGAGAACCCATCATGACAGTTTGCCTGGCTGTGTGTTTCTTGGACGGGGCCGCCTTTTACAGTTGCTTTTATATCTGTGCTTCTGTCTCCTTGAACCCCAGGCGGCCTCAGCAGATGGCCGCTCACACTGAGCCTGGTTCTGCTGGAGGTGTCTTCCTGTTAAAAGGGAGTTTTTCCTCTCCACTGTCACTGCGAGCATGCTTAATGTGAGGGATTGCATTCGAGTCAATGAGTCGATGCAATCAACTCGTTTTCCTTTATTAGAAAACTTTGAATCAATTTAAATGTCTGATCTGGTGAAATGTAAAGTGCCTTGTGATGATGTTGTGAATTGGCGCTATATAAATAAGTTGAATTAAATTGATTTTAGGGTTTTCTCAACAATTCAGCTGTCTGATGGCGGTGGGGAAGAAGCTGTTTTGGAATCTGCTGGACCTGCATCCAATGCAGCGAAGTCTCTTCCCAGAGGGCAGCAGGGAGAACAGTCCATGGTGGGGGTGTGAGGGGTGGTGTTGCCCGCTAGGGACACGCAGCGCCGGGATGAAATGTCTCTGATGGAGGGAAGAGGAGCCCTGATGATCCTCTGTGCTGTTCTCTCCCCTCTTTTCACCTTCTTCCAGTCTGAGGCGCTGCAGCCTCCACACCGCACAGCGAGACAGCTGGTCAGAACGCTCTCTATGGTGCTTCTGTAGAAGGCTGTGAGGATGGGTGGGGGCAGGTGGGCTCTCCTCATCCTCCACAAGAAGTACAAGCGCTTCTGTGCCCTTTTGACCAGTGAGGTGGTGTTTAGATTCCAGGTGAGGGTGTCTATGATGTGCACCCCCAGGAATTTGGTGCTGTTGAACACCTCTACAGCTGATGATGAGCAGTGAAGCGTGGTTAGGACGGTTCTTCCTGAAGTCAACGATGATCTCCTTTCTTTCTTCATGTTCAGGATCGGGCTGTTATCTTTGCCCGACTCCACCAGCTGCTCCATCTCCTCTCTGTAGTTTTGGTCGTTGTCGCGTCTGATGAGGCCCACCACTGTGGCGTTGTCTGCAAACTTCACCATGTGATTGGTGGAAATGGATGGAAAAAAATAAGTGGTATACTTGTCTGTAAAGCAGACAGCTGCAGGCTGGCTACCTGAGTGGATTGCCTGACCATTTGGCCAACAACTTGTAAGATCGAGTTACTCTTTTCCTCTGAAAATAGTTTGTTAAACTGGGTTTTTCAAATCTGCTAACAATCAGCATCTGGTTCCCTTGCATTTCTGGTGACACCATCACCCTGGGGTAGCTTTGATGATTTCACCAGTGCAACAGAAATCAAGAAAGTAAACAATAGAGGGCAACATGTCAGGAAGCCATGGCGTAGTAGGTGTACTTTATTGTTTTGCTCTTTTGTCCCTCCGAATCCCTTCCCCCTGTGCTGCTGTATGTTTATTGAATGTTGTTTCGGCTTGTTAGATCAGAAGTGACTGGCGTGTTGTGATGACGTCCGTATGTTGCGCTCAGTGGTGTCATGTAAATTAGCGGGTCAACCCGGCTCTGGTGTTCCCAGAGCATGCCGATCAGAGCCAAGGAGATTTTAACGCCAGTGAGCTGTTCCCACTGCCAATAAAAGCTGATTGTTTAAATGGGTTTTTCGGCCGGTGTGAAAGGGGTATTTGTAAGGCTTTAAATAACAAACTCTAAAAACATAGGCCACATAATTTAAACAGATTTTAAGATTTAATCAGATTTTGCTTGTGTTTGTTTTAGACCTGGGCTTCATGCTTTGTATAATAATAAAACAAGAGTCAAAATAACATACTTGTGACAGATGAATAAATGTTTTTGTAAATGATTAAAGCTCTGGGAATTGTAAACAGTATGCATCCCTCAGCTATTTAGAATATCATTATTTAAACAATGGTTTATTGGTCAAATAAAACATTACTACAGTCACTGCCACCTATCCCATTGCCCTGCTGTGTTGACATTAAGCCAAGCCATCCCATGCTTATTCTGTGAAGTCATTTAATAATGAACAACCAATCAAATTTCATCGTGGGCTGGTTTGCAGATTTGCACGAGGGCCATTTGTTGATTGACATGCTCAAAGCCAGCCCATTCGCCGACCCTCGACCAATCATTTTATTTCAGGGAGGTCTCAAAGGTTATTTTTTTAAATGTCACTTCTAGCAGCCAATCTCTATTAAAGGATGGAGGGAAGCGTGCAAATCCGTCTTTCAGCCTTTGGATGTGCACTATTTGTCAACCGGCAAGGCAAGTGGCGACCACGTAGAAGATTTTTTTCCCAGGGTTTTTTATTGTCATTACAATGAAATGAACTCTATGCATTTAACCCATACCTTTGGGGAGCAGTGGGCTGTCATTGTGCGGCGCCCAGGGAGCAGTGTGGGGTTAAGGGTCTTGCCCAGGGACCCAGAGTGGCAGTCCATGGGAGTTGGGCTTGAACTCACAACCTCAGGACTTCAAATGAAATGTCCTAACCATTAGGCTGCCACTTGAGACCCGGACCCAGATATTTGAAGATCTTGACGTGTATAAGCCAGGATATATCCAGGATTCCTTCTTTAGATATAACTGTGAAAGCACTAGACACCTACTTTAAGCATTTGACCGGAAACAAAAAAGTCAGACAACAACAAGGTGCCAAAAGTTGTTTGCAACCTTCACCAGGATCGAGCTGCTTGTCAATTATAGTGGTAATTATTCTTGGAGATATGAGGTCTCTTGAAATTCTGTGTGTATTTCCAACCGGTTACTCAAAAATCTCACTTCTTGTAAAGAGAATGCAGACCAAACTTTTGGATCCCCTGTTAAATCATGATAAATAAAGTAAAGGCTTTGGGTATAACATATTTCATAGCACTACAGGCTTGTATCTCATAACACCAGGAGCCAATGTGGTGATTTTACAACAGCCTTCTGAATCCGATTGTTTCTGACTTGCAGTTGGAGGCCTTTTTTATCACTGCTGCTTACCTGCACTTTAATAAATGAAATAGTCTACAGAGCTGTACTTAACGAAATTTCTTTCTGTTTACACTTGTGTGTACATAATCACAAAAATAAAATCTAAGTCTAATTTAAGATAACTCCTCCCACTCCCTCTTGTCCGGGTAGCACACCGGCGGACTGTGGAGGAACGCACCCACCCTCTGCGGGCGTACCTTCCGCCAGCAGGGCCCGCCTATTGGCCGGTCTACGGACTTCCCACAGACAGTTGTATGTTTCATAAAAATGCACTCTGATGCGGCAAGTAAGTAGAACCGTTTCAGGGGCTTTTCTGCGTCCATTCGAGGTGTCTATCTGTCATTGAGCCGTTTGTCAGACAGAGGAAAGCGGACGTGTTGTGTTTCTACATCCGCTTTTGTCCCGTGGCTCCGTGGGGTTTGATGAATCCCGTGTTATTTGCCCCTCTCTTTGTATTTGCCTCCACTGTCTGGGGCGACAACAAAGAACGGACGGCTGCTGTGATTTCACCTTTTCTGAGCCCATAGAAGGATAACTAAATCCTTTCATGATGACCTGCATTGGGTTTTTGGTGTTGTGCATTCAGTGCTCGGCCAAATCCCGCTGACGTTGTTTGAGTTCAGATTGTTTTCGAGGTTAATCGGTGAGTTGCGCTGTTTTTTATTCGTCGTCTCCTTTACCCTCCTTTTTATTTCTGCTGAAACCCAACATCGACGTCATGTCAGAATGATTAGGTCGGTTTTCAGAGCAGCTGCGGACTGTTGGGGAGAAGGAAAATTGTGACGCAGTTGTGTAAAACATCTTTTGGTTGCCTGCTGCAGCGTCGCTGTCGCTTCTTGCGTCACCTACAGCAGCTACCGTAAAACGTCTGCGCGCCGCTTTCCTGCCAGTCGCCATATAGCGATACATTTTTTAATCAATGTAAAACGTATTCAGGCAGTGAACGAGAAAATGTTGGGGGTAGAAGGGGTCTGAGAGAAGTAGTTCGCGCGGAAAGCCCTGGGAGTTGTAGTCCAGTATCCTGACCGGTGCCTAAACGCGTAATGGCTTCTGCGACTACGAAAAACTACAACTCCCAGACGCCCAAACTCTGGATACTTTGTAAACTCTGCAAGTTGCTTGTCTGGGCTGCTATTTTAGGTATGCTAGTGCTGTGGCTCTCTCTGTTGGATGTTTTTTTTTATTTTACTTTTTCCCCCTGACTTATCATCAATAATAAAAATCAGTACTTGGTGACAGCTTTACATTTAAAATAAACTTTTTATTTATTTTTGTTTTAAAGTTGTCTTAAAAGGCAAGGGTGTAACTTTGTGATGAAAGGACCTACAGTTTGTCCACCCAAAAGCTTTCATTAGGTTTTTGATTGAATGTTTTGCTATTGCTGAGAACATAAGATTACCATAATAGACAAATATTTATAGTTACAAAGATGCATTTTAGTGCTATCTAGAAAAAAACTTGGAAATATATTTTATTGCATGTTGCACACCCTAGTAAATCTGTTTCACCTTTAATCTGCAGCTCTCCCTGCTTCTCTCTGTGCTCTTTTTAAAAAGATTTATGAACCTCTTTAATAATATAATGGTGCCAGAAACAAAATTTCAAGATATGTAGAAGTTCTGCAGTCTGATTCTGTCTGATAAATAAGAAAACATGTTAATTTTAACCTGTAACAGGGAGTCATTGTTCTCTGAGAAACCAAGCTTTTATAGTAAAGAAGAACACAACATTTAAACTATATTTTCTCAACTTCTTGCATTATAATACTAACTTGTATAAAATTACAATCTTTTGCCTTTTTTATGGAAAAAGCTGCGTATGCCTAACAAACTGATTTTTTTTTTTGGAGGCATCTGTAATTTTTCTATAACTTAAACATGAAAGTAGCTGCTGGTTATCAAATCAGTCTCATCATCGGATCTGCCTCAAAGTGAAAGAACGGATGATGTTACACTGAGAGGCAGGACATGGGATCAGCACGAGAGAGGGAAAAAACTCACACTCAAAACGTTCTGAACAAAGTTAGCTGTACCCAACGTCTGCTACTTTTGGCTAAAGGAAATGAGCAGCAAGGGTAAAAAAAGCGGAAATTATAGATGGGGACATGTCCCCACCACTCCTTCAGAAAGTTACTCCTGTGTTAAAAGGCACTACGCCTTATTTTTGGAAAAACGGGAATATTTCCGGCAGTTTTCGGGGGCATGCATGTTTGATATGGCGATTGTTCGCAAAAAAACCCCAACATATTTGCTGTACAATGAGATCATCCAACTCTACCGCTGCATGATTAGGTTGCTGTGGAATATGTTATCAATATAAAATGCACTTTTTTTTTTTCGTGTCAATAGATTTTCCTCTGAATTCCCATCTGACTACACTAGCCAGTATCCACAAGATTCATCACACCTTGCACAGGCTGGTAAATATCTTCTGTGGTTTGTGAAATCTTATTTTAATCCAGATGTTACTGAATTTATCAGCCACACTGACACATCTGTATTCTGTTAGAATCTGACTGAAGACGTTGGACAGGACAGCCCCCCGTCAGGTAACCCATCATCACAACTGTTGGCACCAACACGCACTGGAATACACATAATAAAATCAAGGATTTAAAAGAAAATATTTTTGACTTAAATTTCTGGGGAAGTCATATTTAAATGACAAATCATTCAGGCTTAAACATGTATATAAATATACTCTTTATCAGACCATTTTGTCCCAAAAGTTAAAAATTTCTTATATTAAAATCTGTGGGTTTTTTCCATTATTTTATGCAGGCTAGTTAGTTGTACGTCAGCTTTTACACCTAAATTCGGCCAATCATATATCAAAGGTCATCTTTCAATCAAAATTTTTCGGTCATAGCATCTTGATTCATATGTAGCAGCTAATATACGCAACAGTTGAAATGAGAAATAAGAATCATTTACTTTCCCATTGAGTTCCGTCCCAGTGTTCACAGGGATGGACGTCTGTGTCTTCAGCAGGCGTAGAGCTAACAGAACTGGCAGTGTTGCGAGGCAAGGGCTCAAACATGTACGGCTGTAAGCCTTCTACACCAAACCAAGCTTCTGCCGCCCTAGCGTCGTCTTCCACAACTACTTCTAAATAAAAAAATGTATGTTGGAGGAGACTCATCCACTACATCCGACACAGAACTCTCCTCCTCTTGCATGTTTCCTCTGTCCATACCGTTCCTTGACAGCGTCGTTTCTAAGTTACCAATTTAGTGCTACTTGGTCCCAATGTGATTTCCCATTGGAAACCTACTAGCACTAAGTTGCTAACTGGTTAGCAAGATGCTTCCGAGACACCTGCCACAACAAAACGTGCTTGCATACCTTCCGCCACAACAACCCCGCCCCCTTGATAAATGACCAATTCACTTTATTCACTCGTGTAAAGTCAGGCTGCACTCGGGAGAATTCGGAAAAGCAACGGTTTGAACAGCCGATTCCCTACGACTTTAACACTCTTATTTGATGTGGAGGAGAAAAAACTATACTAATTTGTACCTCTGCTGTCAGTCTCCTTACACCTCAATTTTAGTAATAAGACAGTAATTCAAAAGGTTGGTGCATAGAGAGAGAAGGATCTTCGACTACTCTTCTTTGTACCATCGCTGCATTACTCCAAGTCATGGGTTTTTTTCATCCATAACTCTAAAGACATGGATGAAGGCCAGCTTTGTATTGGGAACAATATCTGAGGTGCTTTGATCCGTTTTCCATTCTCTTACAAATTACATCACATCTTTGTAGAATGTCAGGGTGTCTTCCACTGTATTAAGGTTTCAACGCTGTGGAACGTCACCACAGCTTCACAGATTCTCTAATGTAATGTCATTGACTATGTTTCCCTCAGAATTGGAGCAGACAGAACCGGTTCTGAACAGTTTTCGATTCCCATCCCTAACACCAACACATGGCGTAACCTCTCTGGTTGGTTTTCTTAGCGTGTCGAGGAGCAGAAGTTCAGATTTTCCAACTGCTTGTGAAGTTCCTTAAATGCAAAAAATGCACTGCTTGAAATGCTTCAAGATGGGCTGTTCCAGCAGTTAGAAATGTGCTACAGGTCAATTTAATGCGCCTTGATGCGTATCAACCTCAGACTTTGCTTGTAAACCGGCCGCTCCTGTTGCTCAAAGTGGTTTGTTGTGAACGCGGCTTAACAGCTGCAGGGTAGAAACCGTTTCTGGATGCTCCTCAAGCCACCTCCCTGAGGGAAGAGGTTTGAACATTCGGTGAGCAGGATGGTTCCTTCATGATGCGGGCCGCCCTCTGCATCTCGATATACAGAGTTTTAAGGAGAAGGGAAGGTTACACCCTACAGTCCTCTGTGTGGCCTTAAGGCAGGCATACAATGCATGATTTTATTTTATTGGGGGGTTTTTTCCTTCCCTTTTTGGGCAAATTTTTCTAAACAGGCATGTAGAACAGATATCATGAGCTGTGAACTTTTAATCCCCAGGGTTTCTCTGTACAGTTTGAGCTGTAGCTGAGTACAATGATGATACCGCGCACGCCCACCCTTTAACAACCCTCTGCAGAGCCATCCCTTCACTCTGCTGCCACAGCGTGTTGCAGTTCCTCAGGACTGTATTCCCTGAGTTCAGCTCTAAGCAATTTCTATAAGAAGTAGAATCGCTGATGGGATCCTCTGACTAGACAGGAAGCACCGGCACTTCAGGTGAAGCCCCTGGATAAATTCACACTCAGGTACCTTTGGCTAATACACCTTTCACAGGTGCTCCTCTGAGGTGCACAGGATGAAGAGGATTCTAGTCCTTTAAATCACCACCATCTCCTCTCCACTTTCATACAGAAGATATTTATCTCTGTACCAACTTTTTCACCTCCGCTCTGTATTTGGGCTCATCGTTGTTTGGGAGGGGTCCCTCTATCGCTGTGTTACTCCTAAAACCCCTCTGACCAAAGCGCCCAGTTGTAGTTGAAGTTCCAGTAGAGATCAGGGTTTGTGTGTGATGACGGGAACATAGCAAAGCTTGTTCCTGGCCAGGTTCTTTAACAGCTGGCTGGCATCTGGAAGGTGTAGAACGGCACGTCCTGCTCTTTGGATGTCGGCAGCCTTGTTGCTACGTGCAAAATGCTTCTTTTCAGGATAAGATACTGCCAGAGAGAACACCACCAGTGATTTATTGGTTTCTTTTTGTAGAAAAGGACGATCTCATAATATTGAGGCACATTGGTTATAGTTACATCCTTCAACTGGTTAACTATTTATTTTTAAGAATCTTTATAAGATGTAGAGCAATGTGACAAATATGTCATGTTTGTTTCCCTACTTGTAACCATGTGGCGTCATTAGGTTAGTCAGCGGTCAGTTTTGTCCTAGTTTACCTGTGATGATGATCTTCCATCTATTCTGTTACTTTCAAGCCATGCCGCCTAGGAAAAAAAGGAGACCCTCTGCTGGAGACGACATGTCGGCCAAGAAAAGTCGCCAAGACAGGTGAGAGATTCCTCTGTCCACCATGTAGTAGTTGTCTTTTAGCTATTTTTTTATTTTTAATATTCACGCATCTTTAACCTTTCCACATTACAACCAGAAACCAGTGTTTACCTCAGGTTTCTGATTGACAAGCAAAAAGTGGTGCAGAAGAAAATTAAACAGAGTTTAAAGATCATAACAAACAAAGATCTTTAAAGGATTTAGAAAAGGACAGTTTGGCAATCTGTTTACAAAATGGAGAGATGGAAATTACAGCTGCATGCTGCAGAGTGTTTAAAGGCTTTGCAAATCTTAAAGAAGGATTAAAGGAGAATATAGATTTTCACAGGTAGTTGCAAATGAGGCAATTCTGTGATGCGGAGATTAGAGATGACCTTTCAGGGAAGGGAAATGTGCCGAATGCTTTGTATAAAAAATGATCATCTTAAAGAACAAAAGCTTACAGAACAGGAATGTTAGCAATTCTCTGTATGTTAAAAGTAAGAATCAGAGTAACTTCCTATATTGCCAGAGGAGGATAATTTGATCTGCCCGTCACGGCACATCTCCAGTTTTCAGATGTTGGAGAGAATTTAGCTGGAAAAATTATGTGAGGTTGTTTATCGCTCCTCATGTTTAAAACAAGGACAATGCTGGAGGCTCTGTGGCCAATATTTTTTTTACTGATTTTTTATCAAAAGACAACAATTTAACTTAAGAGCCTAAATTAAAATTTCTTAAAATGTCCTCAAAACAGAGATGAAATAAATCATCTAAAAAAGGATTTAAGCAAAGAGTAGCTCCACCATCCGTGTCGGTGACTGCAGTTACTCAGCCGTGCTTGATGCTCGTGTTTCCAGGTGGCTAGTGGGAACGCTGCTGCTCCAACTGTTGAAAGTTGCTTCATGGGGGGGTTTGCTGGCTTTAAGTGATGTTCGTTATTCAGGGAAACACGAAGGATGGTCCAAAAGACTCCTGTTTTTCTCCTGAAAGAAGTCCATCATGCTGGAATAGGAAATGGCCATACTGTCCATCATAGTTATGAGGGAGAGAGCTGTGTGCCCACAGTCTACTCTGACACCCCAATGTCCAAATGCTGAGTTTATTCTATACTTACCATTTCAAAGTTTAAAAATCTTTGACTCTCTCTCTTTACTGTCTGTGTGCTCTGCTGATAAATCCTAAGGGACTGTTGGATGCCATATTTGATAGTAAAGTGTCATGAATTTATACTCTTTATACTATCCTATAATGTATTTGAACAGGTGAAAGGCCTCTGAATGCCCTCAGTGTTCACACCAAGAGCATTTCATAAGTGGATACAATGCTAGAGCTCATGGAGAGTGTAGGTGGAGGGATTGTACCATGAATAAAGGAAAAAAAAAATTGAAATTATGGTTATCCTTTAGTGTGCATGTTATTATGGAATGGTTTTGCAATCAGATATTTTTTCTGATAATTAGGCAGCTCTACTCCAAACATACGTTTTAGGATGTCATCCAAAACATTGCATTTTGCCTCTAACATCAGACTCTGCCACCAAAAATCAATATTGCATGAATTTTATTTTATGTTTTTGCAATTCCAGTTTTACTTCAATTTTTATTTCAACATCCTCCTTTTCTACTTCTAGCATATACATTTAATGTAGAGTCTCCTTCTGTAACGGTGCTTCCAGCTCCAATGCATTTGCCACTACCTGATCCGTCCCTGAAGCACGATCCACTCTGCACAAACACGTATACATTCGGGTGTCCATAAATAATGTAATTATGGTACTAACACTACTGATTTCTATGCATAGCTCACTAAAGAATAGTAATACCTTTCTGTAAAAAATGTTTTATGACTTTTGTGAGACAATTTTGATGCTTTTTACATGTTCATCGTTAAACTGCTTCTCTGATGTCATCATCAGACATGTTCAGAGCAGTCCAGCGAAATATTATCTGCATTTTAGTTGTTTCTTTCTTTAGATAACGCACTATATAGCATAAGGTTAAAACGAAACGAAAACATATAACTCAAAAACGCTAGATTTATATTTAAATCCAAAGCCGAAAAAGTTGGTTGCCAGAAGTAGCGTAGGATCCGGTTTATTTCCGGTGCAGATCGGGCAGAAATGAGTGATAAGAGGACTTTAAGGGATTTATTTTCTCAAGAGTTACATCATTAACCTTTAACACATTGTATTTTAGTAGGTTTACTATTTTTGGAAAAGGAAAACGTCATTTAGGTATTTTTAACAAAACAAAATTGAGGACGACCCGGAAGTATATCTGGATGTGCTGTGCAAATGAGCTGATGGTGTATGTAGAGAACGGGTCGTGCTTCAGGGACGGATCAGGTAATGAGAGCATTGATCTGTGCCTCAACTATGACTCTCTTCCTCCTTCTGTGTCTGTAAACCCACTAAAGGGCTGGAATGACAAATCATGTGTCCTACTGTTTTTAAATATAATATATTTGGAAAATCCTGCTGGCACTTTAAAACATAGATAATATATTATGAGTTCAATAACTTGTTGAATTTAGTCTCTTTAGTCTTAAAAAAGTGTAGAAAGTAGTTTGCTGAGACTCAGATTTTCAATTTTATGCATTGAGATATGGTCATGAAGATGCAGTGTTTTATAGAAGATATAAAAAATCTGCACCAACCATGTCTGCATGTAGTACGGTGTGTGTATTGTGTTGCTGTTTGTTCTCTGACTCCGTCCTCTACTGCAGCATTTTCAGAAAACATGAGAGCTCACAGATCCAGGAGGAGGAGGCGTTTTCCAGTAAAAGATGTGTGGAGTGGTTCTATGAGTATGCAGGTAATTGGAAATCGCATACGTCTGCTGTGTGTTCTTACATCCTTGAGCCAAACTAATGCTGTTCATTTATTCTAACTAGCTTATGACAACGTGGTGGGTCCGGAGGGCATAGAGAAGTTCTGTGAGGACATTGGAGTGGAGCCAGAGAATGTAAGTATTTTTTTTTTTTTTTTTGTGGGTTCTCACCGCAAAAATTAAACTAAATGTACATTACATTTTTTTTTTAAATTAGCAGGGTTCCCACGGATCTTTAAAAAGTCTTAAAAGGCATTGAATTCTTCAAAATAAAACTAAGGCCTTAATTGGTATTAAAATGTCTTAAATTAGTCTTTCGTATGTCTTAATTTTTAAAACATCATAAATAGGATTATTTTTATTACGATTTATTTTTGTAATCTAGATAAAACGTTAAACATTTTTTTGTTTTTATAAAAAAAAAAAAAAAAAAAAATGGGTCGCCATTATTGGTTCCGTCCCGATAGCCAAACCAATAAAAGCGTTGTTGCTGCCGGGACATTTGGGAGATGCGCCATTAACTTTTTGTCTGGAAAATATGAGCAAGTGTAAATGTAACCAAAATTGTCTCCAGCCAAGAGTTTTCTCCATGGCTAAAACCAGGGAACATACATGAGGCTCAGTGCATTTTGTGCAAGAAGCGATTCAAGCTCGGAACGATGGGAATTAAGGCTGTGGAGTCGCGCATGCGAAGCACGAAACACAAAACGTCAAAATCGAGTTACCAAGTTACTCAGTTTTGTTCCACCCTTGTCTCTGCAACGCCTCCACTTATCACCAAATCAAACATACTAAGAAAACGATACAAAGAAAAATAGCTGCAAAAAAGACTTAGCACTGGTTATGTTGGGGCTTTAAAACTGATTTGTTTTGGTCCCTGCTGAAACAAAGTTTGTGAATTCAGTTAAATAATTGTTAAAATATATCTGTCATCTGTGTGTTTTTAGCTTTCTTCCTGTATGGGAAGCTTTTCAAAATTTGAAACATTAGTGCAGTGGTTTATGTTATAATAAACCTTTGGGTTAAGTTGTCGCAAGCAGGTTTTTCTTGTGTTTCTTGTGAATTTGGTCTTAAATTTTTATCTCAAGTGGCATTAAAAAGTCTTGAATTTAACTTGCCTTATGCTGTAGGAACCCTGATTAGGGTATTTGCAATTAATTTTAATAGATCATAGTGTGGTGAACTCCTGATCTCCCACTTGCCTGCAGTTGGATTGAACTACAGGGGCTATGAAAGACAAATAGCGATGAGATAGTGGATCTAACTGGTGACACAATGTCATATGACGATGAAATAAGACATTTTTAACTTTGGTTTTGTGCCACATTCCTGCACTGCCGTAGCCTCTTCCGACTCGTCAGCGACTAATGTGCTGAAGAGTTTAGAGCAGAGGTCACGGATTAGGGGACCGTGGTCCGGATCTGGACCCAACCTGATCGAAATCATTTATAAATTACCACATGTTGTCCGATGCTAATTTCACTTGCGCTGCTTCTCCTGTTTGTACGGTGAAGCCCTCCAGAGCATCCAGGACCAGGCTACACATGATCCAAATTAGCCAATGAGCTGCTGTCAGTCAGGGTTGCACTGCTAGCCACTTTTAGACACAGCAGGCAAACGTGTCGCAAGCCGGGTGATGAGAAAGAAGAAAGACGATAAGAAAAAGTGAAAGAGTGAACTGCTGGAAGAACTGTGGTGAACTGATGACAGAAAAGTGAAATGGTGTGCTCAAAGATGATCCTACATTTTGAGGATGTTTGGCCCAACCTGCTGCTGTGAAGCAGGGTTGTCTACCGTGTAGGGGTGTAAATAATAATCGTTTTGTATCGATGCATCGATCCAAAAGCCGACGATCCGATGCATCGACACGTCCGCAAGATAATCGATTCATGTTTTTTTTTTTCCTCCGGTCTATTTTTATCCATTTGCTCCTGGGCGTAATTCTCCCTCCCGTGCTGCGGTGCCGCTAAACCTATTTTGCCCTCCTACCGCGCTTCCTGGTTATACCCTTACAGCAGTTTGTTGCAGCAAGCTTCACACAGACATTTTTAAATTATGCTCAGTATTGAAGCGTGGTCTGTGCTACACGCTGTGGGTCTAGATACGGCCGAGGCGATGAGGAAGTGGGGGCGAGTTTAGTCCGACGACGGAGGGACAATGGGGCAAAAAGAGCGGAGATTCAGCTGGAAAAAGGGTCCCAGCGTTCTCGCGCACCTCGCTCTTCTAGCGGGTCAAACTTCACGAGTTGTTTTCCCCAATTTCGGTCATAAAAACAAAACAAGCCGGCCTCCTGTCTGGTGCACTGTTTGCAATCAGCTACAATCTGGGAGAGGTGCAGCGGAGCGTCTCTCAAGGGGGCGGTGACGTCGACACTGGAGCCTTCTTCTTCTTCTTCTTTTTTAATGGCGGTTGGCAAACAACTTATAGGTGCATTACCGCCACCTTGCAGAATGGAGTATGGACCAAACAAACTATTATATTCTCCCTAAAATACCCGTTCTTCTTAGAAAATTAAAAATACTACCAAAAACTACATCCCCAGATGACCTTTGAAACAATTCCCTTATATCTAGTTTATTTTTATTCCTGTCTAACTCTCTACGCAACATCTCTCTTTCCTGAGTATATTTATTACATTCTAAAAAAATATGTTGGACGGTTTCTCTGGAGCCGAGGTATTGCATTGAACTCATTACACTGATATTGTGCAGTATTTTTGCAGTATTTTTTGATGCAACTTTTCTACTTCTGTTATTTGCTGTTGTTTCTAAAGAAAATGCATAATGATATTACAGCTTTGATTGATTTATTTCAAACTTGAAACTTTGTTTAGCCTGTAAGGTGTAAAAAAAATAATAATAAAAAAAATTTTTTACCGATTAATCGATTAATCGAATCGAATCGAATCGTGGTGTATTCTTGAGTATCGAAAATAATCGAATTGTTGGGTCAGGAAATCGATACTGAATCGAATCGCCATGATGGATGTGATTTACACCCCTACTACCGTGACAATAATCCAAAATAAATATTGATCCAGGCTCAAAATGAGCACCTTGATATGTGCTTTAGAATGGCTTTGTCTCCATTTAAACCCAGGTTTAAAGCCTTGCAGGGCAGCCTAAAGCCCACTGCTCTCATTAAGACAGAAAAAAGAAAAAAACTAACGGTCATTTCAGGTGTTTTATAAAATATGTGAATCAGGAAATTGTCTATATACCAAACTGAACGATTGTTGTTCTCTACTTAAAAAAACACTTTAGATTTTAAAATGCAAAAATATGTTCTATTTTTTTTTTTTTTTTTATATTTTTTACTTAAAAAGTCAATGTATAACATGGATGCATAAACGACTCAATTTATTTCAGTGTTAAATTATGTTTAAAGTAACATGTTAGAATTAAAAATGTCTCCAGACCTTTACTGGTTGATGCTTTTCTTTATTCGGACCCAGCTGATTTTTAATTGGTTACCCCTGATATAGAGCCTTGAAATGGATAAATATAATCTTATGTTTGATAATTTCACAGTAATCTTATGTATAGATCACAGTAGGAAGGTGCTGCATTTACAGTGTCTCTAGTCACATTGACTTCTGTCTTTATAAGGAATAGGGAAAGGCTGAGGTGACATATGCCGTAAAGTAGTCGGGACATTTGTAGTCTCTTTGTGTGGCAGGCTTACTGCCATCTATCTCTGAGTTGCTTAGTGTCAGTGAAAGAGAAACATACGCGCTCAGGCCATGACAGAGGAGTCATTTCACTAGTTGTAGTTCGACACACAATCATAAAAGTTATGAAAATATATAATGAAGGTTGAAAAGTTGCTTAGTGTTGTTTAAGGTTCTCCTAAATAATCCCCTGTATCACCCATCCCTGTGCAAATTGCTCCTGTTGAATAACTTCTGTTTTGTTTTTTATTTCCACATTTTCCCCAGGTGGTGATGCTGGTTCTCGCCTGGAAGCTAGATGCTCAGAGTATGGGCTATTTCACTCTTCAGGAGTGGCTAAGAGGCATGGGCTCACTGCAGTACGTCAGCCACCATCTCTCCATCAGTTTTAGTCTTTTCTTAGAGTTGTTTTAAGTGTTGATGAACTTCTGGTGTTTTCAGATGTGATTCCACTGAGAGACTGAGGAATTCTCTAGACTACCTGAGGTCCGTCCTCAACGACAGCACGAGTTTTAAGCTCATCTACAGATACGCCTTTGATTTTGCTCGGGTAAGAAGACTTTTCTAGAGGCACGTCTGTATAGGAAGAGCTCCAATTTAATTAACTTCAACTGAACGGGGGAAAAAAGATTTTGAGAAGTGTTGTTCAACTCAGCCTTTACTGAAATATCACATTTTCACTAAATGAACTGTTTGTAGGGAAAGTAAAAATCCTCGTTCTGATTGACTCTAAGGTCCTGTTCTCACTGCAGGAAATTGTGGCTTAAATGTGACCGGGTTTGACCCTTTCTGACCTTTTCAAATCATATATGAGCCTCTTCCCTTTGTGGCCCAATTAATGTGACCCCAGTTTAGCCCCTTTGATGTTTGTCTTAGTTTTTGTCAGCAGCAACCAAATCTCTGTAAATAGCTAAAAGATGGAATTACATTTTCTTATTTGTGTATTTCCTCCTCTGCACCTGCTGACACAATTAATGCATTCCTTAAGACACTTCCAACACCTTATCCCTCCATGTTTGCTGAACACAAGCAAGTTTGGTGTTATCATCTTGCTCCTAAGGGTCAGTTCTGAGTTGCAAACGGCTCAAACATTTCCTGCACTCAGGCACAGGCATCATTTTAAATATGATGTGAAAATTTTTATTGCATTAAGACCTAATTTCCCATCATGGATGAAAAACGGCATCCATTGTTCCATGTTTTTTTTATAGTACACCACTTTTTTTCAAATTATACAAGGGGCGTTCAAAAAGCAATTACAGCTCTGAACTAGTTGTGGTTTCGGATTTACAGGTGTTTGAAGTGAATCAAGTCTGAAATGGAGCCTCTTGAGTGTCGAGCAGTGATGTGGTTTGTGTATTTCAAAGGACGCACACCACGGGAGACTTTGGATGACACGAAAATTACTTATGGTTATGATGCCCCATCATATGACCTTGTAAAATGTTTTACAATGGTAAAGTCTCTCATGGTGTGCGTCCTTTCAAATACAAAAACCGGATTAATACTTGACATTCAATGCTCTGTTACCTTACAACCATTTACACACCACGCTAGCACGGTTCTTCGCCTCCTAGAGACAATCTACAGTACTGCTGGAAATATTAGCTGTGCTGCTGCTGCACTCAACACCTTTGTTTATAGATGTTTGAGATCAGCTTTTTTTCAGTGTAGTCCTGTTTCTCTGACTGACTGGCTGGATGTGCTCTCTTCATCTGCCTGGCTGTGTGTTTCCTGGATGGGGCCTCATTTATAGTTTCCTTTTGTATCTCTGCTTCTGTCTCCTTGAACCCCAGTCGGCCTCAGCAGATGGCCGCTCACACTGAGCCTGGTTCTGCTGGAGGTTTCTTCCTGTTAAAAGGGAGTTTTTCCTCTCCACTGTTGCTACAAGCATGCTTAGTGTGAGGGATTCCTGAAGAGTCAATGAGTCGATGTTGTGAATTGGCGCTATATGAATAAACTGAATTGAATTGTATTACTAGGTAGAAAAAAAAAAGAAAACCAACATGGCAATGTCTGTAACATTCAGGAAGTTTGGTTTTATTGTGATATTTCATTGTTTGCGGAGGGTCCGGTAAAGAAGGCAGCCTTTGGTGAATTTACTTGATAGAGTCAGCTTTTGGGAAGTGGATACGACAAACGATAGTCTAATCACGGCTTACAGACGCAGGAAACAAGGACGGACATTGAGGTTCATCACACTGCTAACTGGAAATTGTGTGACAAGGTAGGGAAGCTAGGATTTTAATGGATGTCTTTAATTTTATGTTTACGGAGGCTGACTCATGATGCGGTCTTCCCATGAGCTCTTCATTATCCGAGAACTGAGCCAGAACTGAACCACGCTGAGCCCTACTGATGAACTAGTACTAGTCTAGCACGGTTCGGTTGTGTCTGGCATGGTCCGGTTGAGTTGTGAGTGTCATTTATACTCAACAGTTACCTCGGTTACCGGCTCAGACCGATCTCGACACGGTTTCAAAAGGGTAGAGTAAATGGGGCTCTAGAGATATAAATAACTGCACATGCAAAATTTCAGCTAGATTAAAAAACTGGAAGTGGGTAAAGGGCATTACTTGTTCAATGTCCTTCGTGGTCACAAACCTCAACGTTAGTTTATCAGAATTTTACGACAACAAAATAAGCGCTGATACATTTGGATTCTGCTGCCTCCTAAATTAAATCCAGTCCAAGCACCCGCCATCACTGTGTAATTTAATCCCAGCATAAATGCAGCTGTTCTGTGAAGGCCTCCAGAAAACAGATGGCACAGACCAGACAGCTCAGAGACGAAGGTTTTGGAGGAGTTTGAACTATATTGAGACCTTTGAGCATCTCTACAGATTGTTTATTCCATCAACTGAAATCATAAAAACAGCCTGACTGTTGGCCTACAAAGATCTGGTCCTACAAGAAAGAATGAAGAAACATGTCTGCCTTTCGGGAAAAAAACCCCCTGCAGGTTACTTCCAGATACATCACTTTCTCTGTTAACAGATTGGATTAAATTAAAATCCCTGTTTTATTTTGATTTCTTTGTTAATGCAGGTTTATGTTCTGTGTAGGGCTGCAACTAACGATTATTTTAAAAATCTATGAATCGGACGATTATTTTTTCGATTAATCGATGAATCGGACAAAAAATATTTTTTATATTAACCTCTTTATTCCAAAATAAACATTTTAGACAGAACAAACAAGCACACAAGAACAGGTTGCTCATTAACTGTACTGGTTCAATATGAAAAATAAATGTGTTAAAACTACGCAAACTTACATGAGAAATGTAGCTGTACATCCACAAAATATAGGGTACTTTGTTTCATAAAGCGCAAAAAAGACAGGAATTTTTGTTTTTAAAAGCCCCTAAGGGGTTCAAACAATAGGCCCCCTGTTTCAACAGATGAGTTTTTTTTAGACTAGAAGAGTTCTGCCTTTTAAGACAGGAAAGTATAGCAGTTAAAGTTGCTACTTGAGAAAATACTGAACCATAGAGATAAAAATAGCCCTGTGATTCAAATTGTAAATTGTATTTGGAATAAAAATGAGAGAACTAGGGATGCTAAAAAACACATCCTCCAAAGACAGATATTTACATGGGAATGTGGCAGATAATTAATTGACATATTACTGATCTTGCTGGATTTTATTCTGCTTTACTTCCATAAATTGCAGGATCTTCTTTACTTTATCTTTGCCAGAAGATTTAAACTTTAAAAGCCTTGCCCTCATAATTTGCAAGTTAATTTATTTATAAAGTAAATATAAACGCTGCTTAAGCTAATTCAAATGAAATTAAAAGTAAAATAAGTAGCCAACCTTATCACTGTCTGTAACCTACTAACACGGTAAGGAAAGCATCGGATGAGCTACCTGAGAAACTAACGTTACGTTTCCCCACTTTAAAACCAAACAAACATGGTGGTTCCGTGCCATGTTAATTTCTTTTGAAAAAAAGTTGCATGTTATCACTTTTTTCCCTTTACAAAGCGCAGGCTATTTTAATTATTGTGATCAATTTGCGCCGTCAATCCCGGTGCATGCGCGCTTCATTTGCAGTCTGGACGCTGAGGCTCTGACTGCAACGCTGAGAGGGACTCCTGCGGGAAAACGCGGTTGGGGTGGGGGAGGCGCCCCACGGCAGAGTAGGAACGATACATGCTTTCACGTAAGAGTCTCTAAAAGCCGCCAGTGACACTGAAAAAAGTCGCCAGATTTGTCGCTAGTCGCTTTTTTGAAAAATAGTCGCTGGAGGGGTCTGAAAAGTCGCTGAGTTGGCAACACTGCACCTGCGGCGCTGACTCGCTCTGCCATTTTTCTTTTCTTCCTCTTTCAGTCAAGAGGCAGTGATGACGGCGCGGCGGATGACGCAATAATCGCGCGACACAACTAATCGATGATGAAATTCGTTGCCAGCGCTTTTAAAAGTCGATTTTTATCGATTTTATCGATTCGTTGTTGCAGCCCTAGTTCTGTGTATCCTATAAAACTCAAATATAGTAAAGGGCCATTTCAGGCTGTAACATGAGCAAGTTCTTTAGCTGCTTTTTTTAAAGCCGGGCATACACTGTGCAATTTTTATTTTTTTATTTTTTCAATTGTTGCACGCAGCTAACTTGCGCTAACACCACAGTGTTGAGTTCACAGCTCACAGTGTAAGTTCTCACACTGTGTGGCCCGACGCTCTGATGCGATCTACCTGCTAACAAAACCACGTCGGACTCAGTTTCCCAGTGAGATGGTGCTACTCGGATTGTCTATCTGGAAGTCAGACGAGTAGAAGTATGAAGCTCACTATAGTGAAACGCGCCGCCTTGGCAATTTGTGCAATTTTGTGCTGAAAGCCATTAACAGAAAAGGCAACGACGTATTTGGACAAAGACATGGATGAACAAACGAGGCTCTACCGTCTGTCAGTTTTACAGAAAGAACTCTATTTCACTCGCTTGCTTTTCTTTTTTCATGAGAGGAAGAAGAAGTAGTATCCTTGTTTGCCCACTGAGCGATTTGCCCACGACCACCTTACGACGGCCAACTGAATTTGTTGACTGAACATGTTTGATTTTCTCCCGAACTGACGATTGCTGATCGTGAGAGGATTGGTGGTCGTAAGAGGCTGATCACCGTTCATTATCCCCTACACAACATGACTCACTATCAAACTGAAAGTCGTCTCAAAAAGGGCAAAAAATGGTAGAGTGTAAGCACGGCGTAAGCTGCGGTCGCCATTTTAAATGAATTCTTCCATGAATGTTTTTAACAGGAAAAGGATCAGAGGAGTTTGGACTTGAACACAGCCAAGTGTATGCTGGGGCTTCTTCTGGGGAAAACATGGCCTCTCTTCCCTGTGTTTAATCAGTTTTTAGAGGTGAGCATACAACTAATGCTGCACCTGTAACGCAGAGAACTGTATTAACCTGAGGCATTTGTTTTTTTTGTTGTTTTTTTTGTTCCTCAGCAATCCAAGTACAAGGTCATCAACAAAGACCAGTGGTGCAATGTTTTAGAGTTCAGCAGGACAATCAACCTGGACCTTAGTAACTACGATGAAGACGGCGCCTGTAAGTCGGCAGCTAAATGATTGTGAATGTGTCCCAGTTTTACTACAGCAGTAATGGTTGTCTTTTTTTCCTCAGGGCCCGTGTTGCTGGATGAGTTTGTGGAATGGTACAAGGAAAGACAGATGTCATAGCTACAGATTTGGGAGAATAAAGAATTACAACTAAACAAAAGGAAGTCAAAAAAAAATAATTCAACTGTGACCACAACAACTCTTGAGTATCAACAACCGATAAAGCAGACGCAACAAAATGAGTAAAGCAGTGACAGTTGGTGGCTGCTGGTGAAGGTTTGGGTTCAGGTTGGGGGCGGGGCTTTGCTGCCCAGAGCTGTTCTCACATTTATGCTCCCTATGGAAGTCACATTGTCGGTAGGTTTGCAGCGATTCCTCCCACCCCCTCTTAATGGCGTAGCTCTCTGTCACTGTGGCGTCTCATATTGCCGTCTATGTTGGGGTAACATGGTATCCCACGCCGACGATGCAAACGGCAAGAGAAACCAACAGAGCTGACCATTAACACATTGTATCCAAGTCTTAAACAGGATCTCTTGGACCTAGGCAGACTCAAGTATTATAGACCCGTGCAATGAAGTTCAACTTGATCTCTGGACAGATGGCACTAACTACTGTTTGTGGTTCTTCTGTAGTTTAGTAGTTCTCCTAAAAGCACACTGTGTCAAAGGCTTGACCGCAGGTTTCTGATGGCTGTGCCGTTTACTATCAAAAAGCCAGTTCTTTCTTTCCCTCCATTTCTTCTTCGTTTTGCTAATAACTTCCGCTGCCCCATGCAAAGACTATTCAAACCTCATAACACCAAACAAATCAGCATTGCTGCTTACTAACTCTTACTACAGTGCAACAGTGAGCCGCCAGCGCTCTGCTCTGCATTCATTGGTCCAACGGCCAATTTATGTATCTACGCTGCGTAGACAAGAGTATTACTGTGCCTCAAACATGAAAGTCGCTTTGTGTCTCCTGCACAGATACCACCAAACCCAAACATATGTATGTGTGACCCTACGGTGCCTTTCAAAAGTATTCCTACCCCTGTTTTTCACATTCTGTCTAAACACAGATTTTCAGTGCATTTTATTTGGATTTAGGATGATGGACCAACATGGAGTAGTGAATTGTTTGCAAGCAGAAGGCAAATCTTACACTAGCTACGTTTACATGCGCAAAATTTCCCCGATCCGATCCAAACCTTGGTTGATCGGAAATTCAAAATCTCCGTTTACATGGACACTAAATGAAATGATCCGATCATGACGTGTGTATACATGTATCAAGCGTTGGATCAGATTAAATCTTTTAAGCATGCGCAGAACTTCCTGACAAACTTGGCAGTTCTGTCTGCGTCTGGTTTTTGGGAGGCCTGACAAACGAAGCGCTCGGAGCGAGCGGAAAGAAAAAAGGAGAGAGGAGGAAAAAAGCGCTTGGCAGCGAAATGTCCGAGAGAAAATGTAGAGAATGAGCGATTGAACCGGCGTGGGAGAGCGAGTGGGCTGTGGAGAGGAAGAAGAGGAAGAGGAGGAGGATAAATTCCTGCTTCCTGCAGCTTTAAATTAACTTATAAGTCGGCGTTCCTAGACTCCCCCCGCCATGTTGTTCACAGCGAGAGCGAGAGCGACCGGTGATTTCCTGTTGTTGACAAGGCGGAAAACGTCACGCTGACGTCGCACACATGCGCAGTGAAGATTATTTTACTCTTTAGATCCGAATGGGTGTTTACATGGACGCCAATCGGAATGGCGATCGGCAAAAACCACCTCTCTCATTCGGAATTAAATTTAGATCCGATCGGACCGAATCGGATTAGAATCTTCAGTCTGACATGTTTACATGAAACATTTTTGATCTGATCAGGCCTTCAATCCGATTAGTTGTGTCCATGTAAACATAGCCATTGTTTTAAAATGTTTAATGAACATAAGTACATATTTTTATTCAACCCCTCCTGAATAAGTTTGGTTTAAAACTGCTTTTCACTGCAGTAATAGTTGCAAGACTAATTTTGCACATATTAAAATCCTTATCCATTCCTTATGATTGGTTAGACGGAGAGGTTTGTCAATGTTAGTTTTAGAGTCTTCATATGATTTTTCCTTTAGATTTAGGTCTAAACATTCATTGATCCATTTTATCATAGGAGTATGCTTTTATCCTTTTTATCACAGATGTTTTTTTGTTCCCATTTTCTTCTTTTGTTTAGCTACATCTAGTAGTTTCCTTTTCAACTTTGACCACAACTGACTGATAGCTGCAGATCAGCGTTCCAATAGCATAATGCTTTTTTTTTGCTCCAGCAGTTGATAAGCAGTATTAGTTTTCCATGTTGGCCTAAAAGTTTAACTTTTGTCTTGTCTGACCTAAACCCCTTCTTCCATAAGTTTGCTGTATCATCGTACAAGTCTAATAATGAATTCAACTTGTAGTCTTCTTTAATAATGTCTTTCCTCTGGTCACTCTTACATAAAGGACAGATTTGTAGCATGAATGATGGCATTCATAGTGTCCTGTCTGGCAATGTGGCAATAACAATAATTGTTTTGATGCCAAAAAGAGCCCAAACAGATTTTACTTTCACAAGTGGAGCAGTAGGACTATTGCCATAGTGTTCCGCTTGTTTTATGCATATAACTTAATCTTGTGTTATTGAATTGTTATAATTATTGAAATGAAGTTATTTTGCTTTCAAACAATTCCATATTGAGTATAGAATTAGTAGTACTGGGTACTGACAGTAAATTTAATGTGTTATTTAATTTAGACCACCAGAAAACAGCAAAGTGCTTCCAGAAGTGATCCTTGGGTGTGTTGGCTATGCACTGAGCAGGCATCAGTGCTAAACACACGCCGCCTTCGCCCTCTGGTGGCTTGAGGTAGATTTCAGACCATAGTATTTAAGGAAACTCTCTCCGTGTCCAGTGAGGTGTTTTCTGTGATATTTTTGCTGTTTGTTCTCTAATGTTCTCCGCTTAGTTCTTTACAGAAATGCTGCATTTATGGTGTGATTAAAGTTACACACAGGTTGCATATAGCTGCTGATTATTTTATGGCATTTCCTTCATGCATTTCAAAGGAGTTAATACAAACACTCCACAGTTCTTATTTAAAAAACTTTATTTTACTCTTCATTTTTCCTCCCCTTAAAAGTGCTCTTCTGCTTTTGTCCGTCATATAAAATACCAATAAAACGCACTGAATTTTGTGGTTGTAAAGTGGCAAAATGTGAGAGTTGAAGGAGTTGTAACACTTTTTGCAAGACACTGTACATTCAGCACATGCAGGTAGTGACGCACAAGCAGTCAGGTAATCATTCAGGATGAATTCAGACTGTTTAGGCTGTGTTATAAGTTAACATAGTGCCAGATGGTGTCCATTTTGTCTTGGTGTTTAGCATTTGTTTGTCTTCCTCAGTCCACTGATAGTTTGTTGGTCTCATTTTTTCTGGTAGCCTTCCTCCAAACACTGACAGTGTTACTGTAGCTGCAGTGGAACAACTGAGACCCTCTGAGGACATGGTCTCCTTTAGGCTAGTGAGGTACGTAGGTTTGCTGAAAGCATTTCTTTATACCACCTGTAGGACGTAAACAAAAAATGTGGACACCGACCATTTGGACGTTTGATGATGATGCTATGCTGTTCTCTTCGCCTAGTGTAATGTTCTCGTAACACATGTATAAAAAAATAAAAATACTTTTTTTTTTGTCTTTGACTGTGATGTGATGCTGCACCGTCAGAAGATTTACTATTTGCATGCATGCTCCAACAGAGCCTTTTGTGAATGGATGAGCTTTTGAAAACATTTTTCAAACATTGTTTGTTTTGTACAGTTAATTGTGCATGTGTTCTGTGCTTATTTTGACAAACAGTCATGTTAGTCTATTTTTCCTATGAAAAAAACAAAACAGAATTGTGTCCACCACAACCTGGAACACACCTGTAACCTCATGGTGGACCAGGAGTTCCCTCCTGCATTTATCCCATCCTACTAATAATTATGTATAGTAATGACAGCAAACCAGTGTGAGGAAATCTTTATTATTTTGAAGTGCATACAATATTGGTTTTGTAACTTCTGTAATTGAGGTCATGATGTACATGGAAAGGTTTTCACAGAAGCTTCAATTTTTTGGCGAAAACTGGATTTAACTGTTTTGTTGTATGCTACACACTATGTAAAGATGAAAATGTCTTTAGTATAATCCAATGAAAATGCAGGAGGATGAACAGCTTGTCCCGACTGTAAATATGTTTGCAAACAATCTGAGTGTCTGTTTTCACTATAACCAATGTCTATACACATAAATAAAAAGGTTTATTAACTTACTGGCTTATGCATGGATTCTTCCAGTATATTGTATATAAAAAACATGACCGACACATTAATCACAATCCTACTATTTTTTGCAAATAATCAGGCTTTACTTTATAACATCAAGATGAGTTTGAGTATTAAGGATCTGTTCTCTTTGAAGCATCTCTTGGTGAACATGAAGAGTTAAAGGTAATTTGAACACTTTAAAGGACTGAAAAAAAACATTTGGAACCATAAACATGGAGGATTTAGATGAAAATATGAATAAAAAATTACTTTCATAGCTTATATGTATAAAGCACTTTAAAATGTACTGTGAAAAATAAATTGCTGAAGTGCATGTTTGATAATCTATTAACAATATACAAGTAGGAAATAAAATCACAACTGGCTCAGTTTTTTCTGATTTCAATTAGAACGGCTCATATTTTTTTCTTTTTCTACCTATCTTAGCCAAGGGTATCTAGGCTTTCTCATTCATCTGGCTTAGGTGTGGCTGGATCAGGAAGCAAGATGTCTGTTGATGACTCCCCAATGCTGTGGCTTTGATAGCGGGGAACTCCATACAACAACAACAAATCTAGGTCTTTTTTTGTCTCACTTGCAGAAGGAGAATTTATTTGAGACTGTTGAGAAAAGACGTCAGTATATTTTTCAGAATGGCTTTGACTATAAGGGCCACCATCCTGTGTGTCAAATAAGGGACCTGAGTCTTTATCTAAAGCTTCCCAGTGTCTCCTCTCATGTGACATGGCTTTTAAGGCACTGAGGCCTTTCCTCCCCTTTGCCCCTAATGAAACTGTCAATGTCTCATTTGTCTTTTGAGGTGAATTTCCAAGAATATTACTAGACAACGGAGCTGACATGTCTCGTTCGGTCTTGGATCTAGATTGTCTCAGTTTCATCTGTATGATGTCTTCAAAGCTTGTATTTGAAGCAGCTTTTGGAGTAAGAGATCCGTCGATGTCATTTGACCCATCTTGTGAAAGATTGGATCTAAGATCATAGATTTGACTCTCGCCACTTGTGAAGGAACTTTTTGGTACTGATGATTTGAAAATGGAACGTTTATAGCTAATAATTGATTCCTCTGTTGGCCCTACAGTTGTCGATACCTGTCTGTTTTGCACCATGTTTTGTTTTGTCAGGTTTTCATTCTGGCTGAAGAAAGGTGGGGTATTGCCTAGCTCTGGAGATGGTGCCTTAATATCCAAACGCCTCTTGATGCGTGGAATCCCACTACCCAAGTCAGTAATGCTGTGGACTTTTGTCTCGTCCTCGCCGCTTGAAGAGGATTCAGAAGTCTCTTTCGGTGGTGTAGTTAAATCCTTGTTCTCATTAAAACTGTGTTTCTCATTTATTCTCTGTAGAATTACATCTGAGAAGGTAAACCTGTCATTTGTCTCCTTCAGAGGAGGAGAAGGATTAACTTGATAGGTTTCCTGTACTGGCGATGCGCCTCTATGCATTATTTCCTGGATCCGACCAACCCTTTTCTTTATTCTTTGTCTTCTTCCTGAGCCACTTTCACTACTGGTAGAGATAGGGGAGTCAGGTGGGGGTGGGGACTTCGGATCAGATGCTTCTGTTGATGTAATTTCGAGATGCTTTCGGAAGCGGGAAACACCAAGATTCATTGTGGCCCATCTTAACTGAAGCTCTGGGTCTATCTCTACTGTTGCTCTGCTGTTGTCACTTGTTGGCATGTTCTTGCGGTCATCTGAAATAACAGTATATTTTTCTAATGTAATTTTTCTGTCTGGTTTTGGACTATAAGACATGTTTTTCCAAGGAAGTGTCTGTGGCCTTATTGTCTTCTTCTCTGAGACTGCCGATATAAAAGATATATCATTTCCAAATTTGGCCTTATTGTTTGTTTTATCCTCATCACTTTCACTACTGGATGACTGTGACTCAGATTTGTTTAGACCCAAAGATGAGCTACGGTTGGGTCCCATAGGTAACAATAAGGATGGAGCTTTACTATCTACATGCCTGTTGAAGGATTGATTGACTCCTTCATGTCTTCGGTCTCTGTCAGCTTTTAGTGAAGGGTCTGCAGTCAAACCAACACTTTTAATACTGCCAGAGGATGATAGAGGAGGAACATAAGCTTTGACATCAAGATGTTTTTTTATTCTTGATGTTTGGCTAAGATCAAGGACAGGCCATGTATTTTCTGGTTTAGAGCTAACTGTTAGAGGTACTTCAGGTGGAGGTTTTGAGGTAAGCAATTCCTCCTGCTTTTGTTTAATCACATGCCCCTTTGTTTCACTCTCACTGTCACTACTAGAGGATGAACCAGAATTAGGAGATGGTGCTTTAATGTCAAGACGCCTCTTGATGCGAGGAAGATTGAAAATGTTGATAGCTGGCCACTGTCCATCTGGATCAAACCCTTTTGTAGTTGTGTCTTGAAAAGAGAGATGGGGAGGATGGAATAATACTGGCTTCCTGATTTCTTTTGTTTCATTTGCACTGTAACTTGCAGATGATGAATCTAATTGTGCTGTAGGTGCTTTGATATCTAAACGCTTTTTAAATCGTGTTACTCTCCAAAGATCAAGGGAAGGCCATTGGTTTTCCAGCTTTTGGCTTGGTGTTTGGCTTGTTTGAAGTGGATTTCTTGAAATATGAATCTCCTCTTGTTTCTGTTTTATATGGTCCTCTTTGTCATCACCACTGTCACTACTAGAAGATGAATCTGAATCTGTAGATGGTCGCTTAATATCTGAGGTTCTTTTGTGTTCTGTTGTTTTTCCAAGATCAGGCGGAGGTCCAAGCTTTTCTGGTTTAGAGTGTACTGTTGGAGAAGCTTGAATTGAAAGCACATTTTCTCTCTTTTGTTTTGTCTCATGGCTTCTTAAATCATCTTCACTATCACTGTTGGATGATGCATCTGAATAGGCTAAAGCAGGTTTGATATCCAGCTGCCTTTTTATCGTGATTTTCCCAGGATCCATTACAGGCCCCCGGTTTGCTGGCTGTTGAATTGCTGAAGTTATGCTAACTGGAACTTTTGATATAGGAAACTCTTTTTGACTCTTTTTTGTCATATGGCCTTTTGTTTCATTTTTACTGTCACTGGCAGATGAATCTAGATCTGCTGCAGGTGCTTTGATATCCAGACGTTTTTTAAATCGTGTTACTTTCCAAAGATCAAGGGAAGGCCATTGGTTTCCTTGATGTTGACTAGGCATTTGGTTTGTTTTTAGTAGATTCTGTGAAAAATGCAACTCTTCTTGTTTTGGCTGTGCCATATGGTGTTTTGTTTCACTATCACTACTAGAAGAGGAATCTGAATCTGTTGAGGTTGCTTTGATATCTACAGGTTTGTTGAATTCTGTATTTTTTTCCAGATCTGGGGGAGGCCAACGATTTTCTGGTTTAGGTATTATAGTTGGGGAAACTTTAGTTGGAAGGTTTGACATTACCAGTTCTTGCTTTTGTTTCATCATGTGGCTTCTTGTTTCATCCTCACTGTCACTAGACGATGATTCTGATTGTGTTTTGGGCGTTTTGATATCCAGACGTGGTCTTATCTGTGTTGCTTTCCCAAAATCCAGTACAGGCCACTGGTTTCCTGGTTTTTGACTTGCTGTGGTTATGTTAACTGGAACCTTTGATATAAGAGATTCTTCTTGGTTTTGTTTTGTCATATAGTCTATTGTTTCCTTATGACTGCCATTAGCAAAGGATACATCTGAATCTGCTGTAGGTGCTTTGATATCCAGACGCTTTTTAAATCGCGTTACACTCCAAAGATCAAGTGAAGGCCATTGGTTTCCTTGATGTTGACTAGGCTTTTGGCTTGTTTTAAATGTATTTCTTGATGAATGTAACTTCTCCTGGTTTTCTTTGACCGTATGGGCTTGCCTGTCATCATCGCTGTCACTACTAGAAGATGAATCTGTTGCATGCTTTGACATCACCAATTCCCCTTGCTTTTGTTTCATTACTTGTCCTCTTGTTTCATTCTCACTGTAAATACTAGATGATGAATCTGGATCTGGTGTGGGGACTTTGATATTCAGGTGTCTTTTTGTTGGAGTTATTTTCCTAAGATCCAGTGCAGGCCACTGGTTTTCTGGATTTTGACTTGCTGTAGTTCTATTGGCCAAGACATTTACTATTGGTAACTCCTCTTGCTTCTGCTCTGTCAGATGTTTTTTTGTTTCACTATCACTAGAAGAAGATGTATCAGAGTCTGTGGATTGTCCCTTGACATCTAGAGGTTTCTTGAACTGTGTTTTTACAAGATCAGATGGAGGCCAACGGTTTTCGGGTTTAGGTCTTACTGTTGGGGAAACTTTAGTTGGAAACTTGTACATCAACATCTCTTCTTGCTTTTGTTTCAACACATAGCCTCTTGTTTCATTCTCACTGTCATTACTAGAGGATGAATCTGAATGTGCCCTGGGTGCTTTGATATCCAGGCGTCTTTTTATTTTTGCTACTTTCCCAAAATCAAGTGCAGGCCATTGGTTTACTGGATTTTGACTTGCTCCAGTTATGTTCAATGGAACTTTCAATATGGCTAGTTCCTCATGCCTCTGTTTCCTTATATGCTCTTGGCTTTCATTGTCGCTGTCACTAGAAGAAGATGAATCACCCTCCGATGATGGCTCCATGATATCTTGAGGTTTCTTGAATTCTTCAATTAGTTCAAGATCCGGTGGTGGCCAACGCTTTTCTGGCTTAGGTCTTACTTGTGGGGAAACTTTAGTTGACATAATCAACTCTTTTTGCTTAATATCAATCATGTGTCCTCTTGTTTCATCCTCACTGTCACTACTAGATGATGAATCTGAATGTGCTCTTGGTGCTTTGAAATCCAGGCGCCTTTTTATCTTTGTTACTTTCCCAAAATCAAGTGCCGGCCAATGATTTGCTTGCTTTTGACTTGCTGTGGATCTGTTGGCCAAAACATTTAATATTGGTAACTCCTCTTGCTTCTGCTTTATCATTTGGTATTTTGTTTCATCATCACTGTCACTGGCAGAAGATGAATCAGAGTCTGTTAATGGTGACTTAGTATCTAGAGGTTTCTTGAATTCTGTTTCTGTGAGATCAGGTGGTGGCCAACGGTTTTCTGGCTTAGGTCGCATTGTTGGGGAAACTTTAGTTGGAAGCTTTGACATAACCGGTTCCTCTTGCTTTTGTGTCATCACATATCGTCTTGTTTCATCTTCGCTGTCACTACTTGATGACGAATCTGATTCTGCTCTAGATGCTTTGATATCCAGGCGCGTTTTTATCTTTGTTACTTTCCCAAAATCAAGAGCCGGCCACTGGTTTTCTGGATTCTGACTTGCTGTAGATCTGTTGGCTGAAACATTTACTATATTAGGCTCCACTTGCTTCTGCTTTGTCATATGGTATTGTGTTTCATCATCACTGTCACTGGCAGAAGATGAATCTGAGTCTGTTAATGGTGCTTTAGTATCTAGAGGTTTCTTGAGTTCTTTTATTTCCAGATCAGGTGGAGGCCAACGGTTTTCTGGTTTAGGTCTCATTGTTGGAGAAACTTTAGTTGGAAGCTTGGACATAACCAGTTCCTCTTGCTTTTGTGTCATCACATAGGCTCTTGTTTCATCCTCGCTGTCACTACTTGATGATGAATCTGAATGTGCTCTTGGTGCTTTGATATGCAGGCGCCTTTTTATCTTTGTTACTTTCCCTAAATCAAGTGCTGGCCAGTGATTTGCTTGCTTTTGACTTTCTGTGGATCTGTTGGCCAAAACATTTAATATGGGTAACTCCTCTTGCTTCTGTTTTGTCATATGGTATTTTGTTTCATCATTACTGTCACTGGCAGAAGATGAATCAGAGTCTGTTAATGGTGCCTTAGTATTTAGAGGTTTCTTAAGTTCTGTTTTTGCGAGATCAGGTGGTGGCCAACGGTTTTCTGGTTTAGGTCTCATTGTTGAGGAAACTTTAGTTGGAATCTTTGACATAACCAGTTCCTCTTGCTTTTGTGTCTTTACATATCGTCTTGTTTCATCTTCACTGTCACTACTTGATGATGAATCTGAATGTGCTTTTGGTGCTTTGATATCCAGGCGCCTTTTTATCTTTGTTACTTTCCCAAAATCAAGTGCTGGCCAAAGATTTGCTTGCTTTTGACTTGCTGTAGATCTGTTGGCCAAAACATTTAATATGGGTAACTCCTCTTGCTTCTGTTTTGTCATATTGTATTTTGTTTCATCATCACTGTCACTGGCAGAAGATGAATCTGAGTCTGTTAATGGTGCCTTAGTATCTAGAGGTTTCTTGAGTTCTGTTTTTGCGAGATCAGGGTAAGGCCAACGGTTTTCAGGTTTAGGTCTCATTGTTGGGGAAACTTTAGTTGGAAGCTTTGACATAACCAGTTCCTCTTGCTTTTGTGTCATCACATATCGTCTTGTTTCATCTTCACTGTCACTACTCGATGATGAATCTGAATATGCTCTTGGTGCTTTGAAATCCAGGCGCCGTTTTATCTTTGTTACTTTCCCAAAATCAAGTGTCGGCCAATGATTTGCTTGCTTTTGACTTTCTGTGGATCTGTTGGCCAAAACATTTAATATGGGTAACTCCTCTTGCTTCTGTTTTGTCATATAGTGTTTTGTTTCATCATCACTGTCACTGGCAGAAGATGAATCAGAGTCTGTTGATGGTGCCTTAATATCTAGAGGTTTCTTGAGTTCTGTTTTTGTGAGATCAGGGTAAGGCAAGTGGTTTTCTGGTTTAGGTCTCATTGATGGGGAAACTTTCGTTGGAAGCTTTGACATAACCAGTTCATCTTGCTTTTGTGTCATCACATATTTTCTAGTTTCATCTTCACTGTCACTACTCGATGATGAATCTGAATGTGCTCTTGGTGCTTTGAAATCCAGGCGCCGTTTTATCTTTGTTACTCTCCCAAAATCAAGTGCCGGCCAATGATTTGCTTGCTTTTGACTTTCTGTGGATCTGTTGGCCAAAACATTTAATATTGGTAACTCCTCTTGCTTCTGTTTTGTCATATGGTGTTTTGTTTCATCATCACTGTCACTGGCAGAAGATGAATCTGAGTCTGTTAATGGTGCCTTAGTATGTAGAGGTTTCTTGAGTTCTGTTTTTGTGAGATCAGGTGGTGGCCAACGGTTTTCTGGCTTAGGTCTCCATGTTGGGGAAACTTTAGTTGGAAGCTTTGAGATAACCAGTTCCTCTTGCTTTTGTGTCATCACATATCGTCTTGTTTCATCTTCACTGTCACTACTTGATGACGAATCTGAATGTGCTCTTGTTGCTTTGATATCCAGGCGCCTTTTTATCTTTGTTACTTTCCCAAAATCAAGTGCCGGCCAATGATTTGCTTGCTTTTGACTTTCTGTGGATCTGTTGGCCAAAACATTTAATATGGGTAACTCCTCTTGCTTCTGTTTTGTCATATGGTGTTTTGTTTCATCATCACTGTCACTGGCAGAAGATGAATCTGAGTCTGTTAATGGTGCCTTAGTATCTAGAGGTTTCTTGAGTTCTGTTTTTGTGAGATCAGGTGGTGGCCAACGGTTTTCTGGTTTAGGTCTCATTGTTGGGGAAACTTTTGTTGGAAGCTTTGACATAACCAGTTCCTCTTGCTTTTGTGTCTTTACATATTGTCTTGTTTCATCTTCACTCTCACTACTCGATGATGAATCTGAATGTGCTCTTGGTGCTTTGATATCCAGGTGCCGTTTTATCTTTGTTACTTTCCCAAAATCAAGTGCCGGCCACTGGTTATCTGGATTCTGACTTGCTGTGGATCTGTTGGCTGAAACATTTACTATAGGTAACTCCTCTTGCTTCTGCTTTATCATGTGGTATTTTGTTTTATCATCACTGTCACTGGCAGAAGATGAATCAGAGTCTGTTAATGGTGCCTTGGTATCTAGAGGTTTCTTGAATTCTGTTCTGGCAAGATCAGGTGGTGGCCAACGGTTTTCTGGCTTAGGTCTCCATGTTGGAGAAACTTTAGTTGGAAGCTTTGACATAACCAGTTCCTCTTGCTTTTGTGTCATCACATATTGTCTTGTTTCATCTTCACTGTCACTACTTGATGACGAATCTGAATGTGCTCTTGGTGCTTTGATATCCAGGCGCCTTTTTATCTTTGTTACTTTCCCAAAATCAAGTGCCGGCCAATGATTTGCTTGCTTTTGACTTTCTGTGGATCTGTTGGCCAAAACATTTAATATGGGTAACTCCTCTTGCTTCTGTTTTGTCATATGGTGTTTTGTTTCATCATCACTGTCACTGGCAGAAGATGAATCTGAGTCTGTTAATGGTGCCTTAGTATCTAGAGGTTTCTTGAGTTCTGTTTTTGTGAGATCAGGTGGTGGCCAACGGTTTTCTGGTTTAGGTCTCATTGTTGGGGAAACTTTTGTTGGAAGCTTTGACATAACCAGTTCCTCTTGCTTTTGTGTCTTTACATATTGTCTTGTTTCATCTTCACTGTCACTACTCGATGATGAATCTGAATGTGCTCTTCGTGCTTTGATATCCAGGTGCCGTTTTATCTTTGTTACTTTCCCAAAATCAAGTGCCGGCCACTGGTTATCTGGATTCTGACTTGCTGTGGATCTGTTGGCTGAAACATTTACTATAGGTAACTCCTCTTGCTTCTGCTTTATCATGTGGTATTTTGTTTTATCATCACTGTCACTGGCAGAAGATGAATCAGAGTCTGTTAATGGTGCCTTGGTATCTAGAGGTTTCTTGAATTTAGGTCTCAATGTTGGGGAATCTTTAGCTGGAAGCTTTGACATAACCATTTCATGTTGTTTCATCACATAGCCTCTTGTTTCGTCCTCGCTGTCACTACTTGATGATGACTCTGATTCTGCTCTAGGTGCTTTGATATCCAGGCGCCTTTTTATCCGTATTACTTTTCCAAAATCCAGTTTAGGCCAATGCTTTGCTTGCTTTTGGCTTGCTTTGGATCTGTGTGCCAAAACATTTAATATAGGTAATTCATTTTCCTTCTGTTTTGCCATTTGGTATTTCCTTTTATCATCACTGTCACTGGCAGAAGATGAATTGGAGTCTGTTGATGGTGTCATGATATCTAGAGGTTTCTGGAATGATGTTTTTCTAAGATCAGGTGGAGGCCAATGGCTTTCTCGTTCAGAACTTACTTTAGGAGAAACTTCAACTGGAAGCTCTGACATCGCCTCTTGCTTTTGTTTTATCATGTGTCCTCTTATTTTGTACTCACTGTCACTACTAGAAGATGAACCAGAACTTTTTAATAGTGCTTTGATATCAAGACGCCTCTTGAGAGAAGGAATGTGCTCAAGATCTACAGCAGGCCAAGTTCCATCTGAATTATAAACTTGTGTTGTAGATGTTTGGAATGAATGTTGTTGAGTATTGGTTCTGCTTTTAACATTGACATAAGAGATATTTTCCCCGCTTTCACTGTCTGAAGAAGATGAATGAGTTGCAGGTTTTGATTTTAGTGCAAATTTTCTTCTCTTCTTGTCTGTTCTTTGTTTGATTTTAGTCTGTGTTGCATCCTTGTTACTGTAGCTGGAATCAGATGAGAGAGAATTATCTTGTGTTTCCTCTGGTCTTTTTGAATCATAGCTGTTCTTGACTTGATGCACATTTGAAGAAAAAGAAACGGGTACACTGCCTATATTACTGGATGGACTTTGAGCAACATCGCTGAATTCAAATTGTTCCTCATCACCCTGAGAGTCTTCAGAGCTTGCTTGGTGTGTCTTATTTGTTTGAGGGGAAGATGATCTGTTGAGTTGGGTTTTTGTTTTTGTGGTTTTAGAAAAATCTGCTCTCTTCAGTGACTCTTCTACCAGCTGAAGAGACTTTGGCTTTGTGTGGTCTCTGGTCCTTTGGTCTGCTTCTGATGCATTTTGAGAGGAATTTGAGGATGATGAGGATGAACTGCTTCTTCTCTCCTCTAGCTCATCTGGATCTGGAATGTGTTCAAACTTCATGTTGCGGAGGCGTTCTGCAGCCATTTCTGCTGAGCTGCTGTCATCACTTTGTTTGTCCTTGCGATACTTATGCATGTCAACCCCTTCTTGATACTCAGACAACTCACTGCTTCTAAAGCTCTCCTGATTTCCATGTGCAACAGTATCATAATATTGCACGTTGCTTTCCTCTGTAAATTCTACACTGCTAAATGTGACTCTTCTTTCCCTGTGATGTTCTGCCTCTCGCTCCTCTGCATTGGAAAACGCATGGTTTTCGTACTGTCCCCGTTGAACTGAAGTGGCTGTATGAGTTTCACGGCGAGCTTCCTTTTTCGAGACCCTTCTCCAAAGCCTATCAATACAAGGTCTGGCCAGGACTCCGAGAATAAACGCTAACAGAAATGTGAATAAAATTGATAGACACACTCCCAGAGCTAAGTCTCCCGGTGTAAAGGTTTGAGCTGTTTTGCTGCTAGTGTTTTGGGCCCTGGGTAAACTTCTTACTTTTCTGGCCTCCCTTGTTTCACTGATTTGGAGATTAAAAACAGACAGAACTTGGTCTTCTTCAGAAACACACACATAAAGTCCTGCATCTCCCTCTGAAAACTCTCTGATATGAAGACGAGCTTCATGCTGGTCCACAGATGCTAGACCACTTGGAGTCCACCATGCTGACTCTAAAGAAAATACAAAACAGTAGTGTTAGAACAAATGGCCATTGTTAAGTATCTAGCTCCTGATATTAATATTTATTGTGTGACCTTGTTCTGAGCAGAAGAGTAAGATCTCAGCTCCACTGTAGACTGTCAGATCTTGGTGAAGATTTGGTTTGTTTTCACTACTTAAACATTTTAGGTCCTCCTCATTCAGCTGTAGAAGATCTTTGCCCGAGACGGTGGAAGGAAAAGCACATATGATGTTCCAGGCCTGCAGGCCTCTGGTACTGTCATAGGTCATCTGCCTTTTTAGATTTCGAGCGTTGCAATCACAGCGCCACCTGTTTCCACTCAACTTAACATCTGCTCCAATATTGCGCAGAGTGAGGTATGTCAATTGCTGCATGTTTGTCAACATGTTGAAGCTCAGGTCAAGGACCTTTGGGGGGGATTAAATATAGGTAATTAGCTTTTATTTATTTATCACTTATCACAGCAGGTTTTAACTAGAAGCATTTCTGCAGAAAATGTCACATGCACAAAGCAAAAATAAACAGCGAGTCAATATTTGGTTTAAAAGCAACATTTATTCTATTATAGAAAATAAAAACAGGCTTACCTTGAGTTGATCCAAATTGTGGAACAGTTTTGGATGGAGATGTGTAATAAAGTTGTGCTGTAAATGAAGCTCTTGGAGTTGATGAAGGTCACTGAGGATTCCCGGTTTAAGGTTTGAAATCCTGTTGAAGGACAGCTGTACAATCTGCAAAGATTTGATAGTGTCCAGCCCTATAAAAAAAAAAGAAAATAAACTAAATAATTAAAATTCACCATCATGATGGAGTGATTTAAAAAAAAAAAGGAAAAAATGTACATGAATATAATTTTGCCCCCTTTATGAGCATCAAATTTTCTTATGTTGGAACCAAAAACTTGAATGCGTTTTAAACAGCATTTTTTTTTACAGCAACTGAAAAAAATTGTGCATAATTTTAGTGAAACCAAAAAAATAAATTTGTTATATTTTACAAATAAAATGTAAAAAGTTATGTGTATTAAAGCCACTCTACTCATCTCATTTTGAATCTCACATCAGAATTTCAGACATTTTATTCAGCTGTTGCCACATTTAAGGCAGCGACAGACATGAACTGTTTTGTCTTCAAGTTCACATTCGAGTCTAATAATGACCATAACATACTACCATAACATTTTAGTCAAGGAATAGTAATGTGTTAGAATTAGAGAAGCAGGCAAGGGGCTTTATGGTTCTGTTTGAGCTAAGGGGTCCACAGCCCATTTGGGATTTCTGTCTCGAAAACTTTGTGCATTCCATAAACCTGTCCTGTAAGAAAGACCAAGAAAGACCGAAAGAACAATGAAAGCCAAAGGAAATCCTGTTTGATGTTTGCCACAAACCAGGTAGAAGAAACAGGAAGTATAGGTCTGAAACCCAGTTCAGAGAAAACTATAAATTTCCTTTTTGTCCTGCATGCAAAACATCATGCCAACACTATTGCTACCAGGAAACATGGTGGTGGCTGCATTATGGGTTGGACTTCCTGAAGAGGGAAATAAATTCTGGTCAGAGTTTATGGAAACAAATGGATATAGCCAAATACAGTAAAGTCCAGGAAGAACACTTGCTATAGGTTATAAAAGACCAGATATTGAGAAGAACAACAGCCCTAAATGAACAACAAAAGCTGGGATCATTAAGATCAAAATGTCCCCACATGTTAAAAAGTCAAAACTTAAATGCAATTTCGAAGCTGTGGCAAGACTGGAAACTGATGCTCTCACATGTTCTCCATCTGGTCTGACTGAGCTCAGGCTTCTCTTCCTGATATGCAAAAATGGTGGAGCCATAACCCAAATGATTGGAGTTCTTAAAATGATTCACACAGGAGGGCTGAAAAGAAACCCATCTTACACATTCCTTTTTTATGTCAAAATGAAAGCTGTCTTTGGTCTTTTCTTTCAACTAACTAGAACTGGCACTCCAGGACTCTCAGAACAGCTCTTGCAAATTAAATTTGATGAGCCATCTGCAACCGTTGTCACAAAAAAAGCTAAAGAAATACTTTTCTATGAAAAAAGAACAGATTCAGGCTACCACCAGGAGGTATGTTATATGACAATATCATAATTATTTTACTGCACACTCACACCTTTTTCAAGCCACTGGAATGTCAATATAAATTGTGAAAGCAGTGTTATCTTGGGAGGTTCACTAATTTGTGCATGGAGCAGAGTTCTAAAGATAATGGATATGACCAGAATGGGTTTGTTATTTGTGTGGAATGCAAAGGCAGACAGACGAATCCGAAGAGCTGGAGAAAGTAAACACACCTTGAACCCAGAGTATAGGCTTCCTTTTTAGGAAGTTTTTTATAATGATGTTTGCTATTCAATGTCTGATTAATGTGACCAGTTTTAGTGACTCAAAGACACATTTATGCCAGTTGTTCCAGAAGGCAAATAAAGGTGCAACTACAGAACTTATCAGATGGATTTTCGTCAGCCACTCCTAAATAGGGATTTATTTCTGGGAACTTTTTCATTCTGTTTGCCTGTTTCAATTTCCCAAAAACATTTAGCTTAACAAAGTATTACTTTATCAGACAATAATTTTGTTAATAATTGTATCACTCATAGTCCAGTTCTGTCAGTTTATCTACCTCTGTATCTACCACAAAACTGCTACGATGTGTTCACTCCAGATAAGAACCAGTACACTGTAGCTGACATGTCAGGTACAGTTTAGCCCAAAAATGAAATGAGAAAATCTCTCTAAAAAGACAATACAACAAAAGAAAAGTGAGAATTAGTTTTGAAACATAATAAATGATCCTTTTCGTTATTATCAAAATTATTGTTTCTCTTTTAAATAGTGAAAAAATGCAAAGGGGCATTAGAACATATTTTTATTGTTGTTTATATAATTTTTGTCTGGTAATAACGTAGTTTCAGATTTAGAACAGGAATCTTATAACGTCAGTATTACTTCAGTAGGAAGGGGCATACTGATAAGATTAAAAGCTTTAAATCTAAATCTGCCAGGAGTTTGATTGATTTTGGGTTTACCTGTCAACTTCCGAACTTTACTGGTTTGGTTTGGAGTTGTACCATCTTTAACTGTTGGGATTTTTATTAAAGTTCAAAGGTGATAATATCAGTAAACAACTCTGTTCTTTAAGGTTGTTGCACCTTTCAATAACAAAAATGAAACTAACTTGACAAAAGGTGTGATATCTGCATTTCTGTCTGCAGATAAATCATATTTCTATGTTTTACCTCTTTATGCGGGTCGTGTATATGAGTTAGTTATTAATCGTTAATTAATGTGCTATAAAATAAAACGTAAAAGGCCTCTCATAATCGACTTGTGTCTTAATCTTTATTTATAATCTTTGAAATGACAACCAATCAACTATTATTTAACAATCCTGTTTTTCAGCTGCCTTGGAAAAGTGTTTAGTCCATATTAGCTCTCATTGTGTCATCTAATAAATGTCTAAAACTTCAACTCATAAGGAACTTTTTAGGATACTGCATAAAACTAATTGTGCTGATTCCAGTTCTTTAATACTTTTGTCCCTTCAATGATTGTTATTATAGAGATCTATTCATGGATCAATTGGTTCTTCTTGAACAGGATACTAAAGGTGCTGATAAAATGTGTAGCAAGTCTTTATTAATTAATTTCATATTAGCAAAAATTCTTTAATAAATTTCTAATATCAGGGGCAAGTAGGAAAAAAATCTGTTTTCTAGTTTCTGTCTTGCTTTTTTCTTTTCGGATCATGGCTTAGGTTTTCTAGAAGATTGCTGCTGAAATAATCAGCTTTTCTTTTTCCTGGTAAAGCCTATCTGATTTTTTTGTTGTTGTTGTTTTGTTGTAACGCTATTATTTCAAATATTCAGTGATTTTATGCACTCTAACAAGTTTATGACCTTCAGCATCAATCCATCAAACACAACGGCTGCAGTGAAGAACATCTGACTGAAGCACTCACTTCAAATCAAAGTCCGAGCACAGTTTAAGTCAATCCAACATGTTTCATTTTCTTTTTTAATTCATAATGAATTGGACTTCTGGTTTACATGTTTACAATATGTCATAAAAGATTAATTCAGATTTCCTGGGATCCCAAAATTCTAGTCTCTACTGCACAGTGAGCCATTAAAAGAGTCCATATATATATATATATATATATATATATATATATATATATATATATATATGTATATGTGTGTGAATATTGTGTGAATATTGTGGCACCAAGGCCAAATAAAACTGAACAGATGGCTCTTAAAGTTCTCTCATATAACTGCCGTGGCCTGCGCTTGGGCCATAGTGCAGAGGACAAAGCTCGCCGGGTTGTTGTAGACCAACTTCTGAGTCAATGTGATGTGCTGTGTCTACAAGAGACTTTTCTGACAAAGCAGGATTTAGAAGGACTGAACTCTATAAATGAGCGTTTCCACGGGGCTGGGGAGTCCAGTGTTGATATTGGGGATAGAATAATACGAGGACGGATTGCCGGTGGTGTGGCAACATTATGGGATAAGAGACTAGATCCTTGTGTTAAAATAATCCGACTGGAAGTGGACTGGTGCATAGCAATACACCTGACACAACATGACAGGGAATGTGTTATCCTGAATGTGTACACCCCATATGAGTGCATTGCTAATGAAACTGAGTATCTTAACAAGCTTGCTTTTATTAACTCTTTTATACAAGATAACAAATTTTTTAATGTGTTTGTTATTGGTGACATGAACTCTGATATCACTGACAGAAAATCTATCTTTGGTACTCATTTAAAGCAGTTTTGTGAGGATAGTGGGTTAATTCTCTCAACGAAAGTTCTGCTGCCTACAGATAGTTTTACATATATTAGTGAGGCATGGCATACAACCTCATGGTTGGATCACTGTGTAACCACAGCAGATGCACATGCCTCATTGACCGACATGAAAATCCTGTATGAATTCTCTACTGCCGATCATATTCCATTTGGGATGCAGATAAATTTACAGTGGTTACCAATGACAGAAAAGTACTCTGAAAGCAACAAATTACACTTAGACTGGAGCTCACTGTCAAAGGAGGATCTGCTATCTTATTCGATGTGCACAGATAACTCACTCAGGAATATCTACTTGCCCAGAGAAGCAGTTAGCTGTAGAGATGCTAATTGTAAAAATTCTGAGCACATAAGATCCATTTGTTCTGTGTATAATGAAATAGTTAATGTTTTGATTGCATCAACTAAACACTTTCATAAACAAATAAAAAAGAAAAATAAGATCAGGCCAGGTTGGAATACCCATGTGGTTGAATTTTTTAATAGAGCTAGAGAGGCTTCTAAGGAATGGATTGAGGCAGGTAGACCAAGATCAGGGCCTGTCTTTGAACATAAAAAGTATACCAATGCCCAATATAAGTATGCTGTGCGTTATATTGGTAAAAATGAAAGAGCAATGAGGTCTGACTCAATGGCCAGAAAACTCTTCTGTAACAATACCCAAGGCTTCTGGAAAGAAGTTAGAGGTATGACATCCTACAAAACATCCCTCCCATGTTCGGTTGATGGCATATCAGACACTGCTAACATTGTGGAGCTGTGGCGCCAACATTACAGCAGATTATTTAATTGCATCCATAGTGAACCATGCACTGCAAACAATGTTGACCATATAGATGAAATCCTGCCTTATGAGGTTCATAAAGCTATTTCCAAATTATCTAACAATAAAGCCACTGGGCTGGATGGAGTCTCAGCTGAACATTTAAAGTATGCAAATGCAAGGCTAGCTCCTCTACTTTCCATTTGTTTCACATCGTTTTTTATTCATGGGCTTTTACCTGACTCTATTTTAAGTGTCCTGTTAGTACCCGTCATTAAAGACAAAACTGGAAACATTGGCAATTCTGATAATTACCGTCCGATAGCGCTGGCCAGCATAGTTTCAAAAATTATTGAATCAATCCTGCTGGACAGGATTTTAGAGGTTATCAAGTCTACAGATAACCAGTTTGGTTTTAAGGCTAGGCTGGGCACAGATATGTGTATATATGCTCTAAAAGAGATTACTTATAAATATAATAAGCAGAACTCTTCAGTGTTTATGTGTTTCCTGGATGCATCAAAAGCATTTGATAGGGTAAACCACAGAAAACTATTCACAAAACTGACACAAAAAGGAGTACCAGAGTATATTGTTCGTATTTTGAAGTACTGGTATACTCAGCAAACACTGCAGATTAAATGGGGGGAATGTGTCTCTGCTCCATTCAAAGTTAGTAATGGGGTGAGGCAGGGCGGGATTTTGTCCCCAGTTCTCTTTAACTTGTATCTGGATGAACTGTCACACAAGTTGAGAGCTTGTCACACTGGTTGTGTGGCTGGTGACTCGGTACTTAATCACCTGATGTATGCAGATGATTTAGTAATATTTAGCCCTAGTACTGCTGGGTTACAGCAACTACTAAACATCTGCTCTGAGTATGGTCTGGAACACGACATAAAGTACAATCCATCTAAAAGTGTGATCATGATCTGTAGGAGTAAGGAAGATAAATCTACTGAGTTTCCAGATTTTTTGCTGTCAAATACTGTGCTGGGCGTAACAAATAAAACCAAGTATCTTGGGCACATCATCACAGAAAATCTGTCAGACGATGAAGATATTTGCAGACAGCGTAGATTGTTGTATGCTCAAGCTAATACCCTTGCACGTAAATTCGGTTCATGTACTGATAAAGTCAAAGTGGAACTGTTTAATGCATATTGTACCTCTCTGTACACTGCTCACCTGTGGACTACCTATAGAAAAGTCAACCTGCAAAGGCTGCAGGTGGCCTATAATGATGCTATGCGGTTACTTTTGAAACGTCCAAGATGGTCCAGTGCAAGTGAGATGTTTGTCACAGCAAGAGTTAATACCCTACAAGCTGTTCTACGAAAGTTAATGTATAAGTTTATTTGTAGGTTAAATGCATCTGAAAACGATATTATTTTGTCACTCACTGATACCACACGTAGTGCAATCCGATATCAGTCTAAGCTGTGGAGACACTGGTATTCCTGTCTTCTTAAAGATCCTATTTAATCGATAATGGTACTTGTATTGTGTTTTTATCATTAACAATTTTTTATTTTATTTTTATGTATGTATTTATTGGACCATGAGTCCGGAATAAAGTTTATCTATCTATCTATCTATCTATCTATCTATCTATCTATCTATCTATCTATCTATCTATCTATCTATCTATCTATCTATCTATCTATCTATCTATCTATCTATCTATCTATCTATCTATCTATCTATCTATCTATCTATCTATCTATCTATCTATCTATCTATCTATCTATCTATCTATCTATCTATCTATCTATCTATCTATATATACATATATATATATATATATACATACACACACACAGTACAGAGCAACAGTTTGGACAAACCTTCTCATTCCAAAAATTGTCTCTTTTTTCATTACTATGTAAAATTTAAATTCACACCGAAGGCATTAAAACTATTAATCACCACGTGTAGAATTACATACTTAACAAGAAAGTGTGAAACAACTGAGAATATGTCGTACATTCTAGGTCCTTCAAAGTAGCCACCTTGTTGTTTTTATTACTGCTTCACATACTCTTGGCATTCTCTTGATGAGCTTCTAGAGGTCGTCACCTGCAATTGTTTTCACTTGAAAGGTGTCCCCCTGTCAGGTTTAATAAGTGGGATTTCTTGCCTTATAGTCCCAAAAAATTGGCAAAACTTTAAAAGTGCAGTCGTAAAAACCATCAAGCACTACAAAGAAACTGGCTCATATGAGGACCGTCCCAGGGAAAGAAGACCAAGAGTCACCTCTGCTGCGGAGAATAAGTTAATCCGAGTCACCAGCCTCAGAAATCGCAGGTTAACCGAAGCTCAGATAAGAGACCAGGTCAATGCCACACAGAGTTCTAGCAGCTGACATATCTCTAGAACACCTGTTAAGAGGAGACTGTGTGAATCAGGCCTTCATGGTAAAATAGCTGCTAGGAAACAACTGCCAAGGACAGGCAACAACCAGAAGAGACTTGCTTGGTCTAAGGAACACAAGGAATGGACATTAGACCAGTGGAAATCTGTGCTTTGGTCTGATGAGTCCAAATTTGAGATCTTTGGTTCCAACCATTGTGTCTTTGTGCAACGCAGAAAAGGTGAACTGATGGACTCTACATGCCTGGTTCCCACCGTGAAGCATGGAGGAGGAGGTGTGATGGTGTGGGGGTGCTTTGCTGGTGACACTGTTCTGGTCTTCCACTGTTTTTATTCATTATTCTATCTATCTATCTATCTATCTATCTATCTATCTATCTATCTATCTATCTATCTATCTATCTATCTATCTATCTATCTATCTATCTATCTATCTATCCACTTATTACTATTGATTGAATTCCATCCTAATAATCAAATAAATACTTCGAAGAGTGACTGAATAAAAAGTTCAGCTTTCAAAGGAATGGATTTAGATTCTAAGATTAAACCCTTGATGCAATAAAAAAGTCTCATAATGCAGTCATATATGAAATCAGCAATACTTTCAGGTTAAAAAGTTAACTTTTCTCAGGATTTAAAGTATTGCTTACAATAGGCTTTATGGTATGTGATTATATTACACCAACTCACCCTCTGGCAGCTGCTCTAGCAGATTCCTCTCAGCTGACAGCAGCTGCAGGGCGGGGGCCCAGGTCTGACATCCCGATCCGCTCCCAGTTTCCGACTGAAACCTGCGATGTCGACCCCTAACATGTGTTTCTATGCAGAGAGACAAATATGGGATGCTGTTGTTTCCCAGCCACAGGCTCCTGAGGCTGGGATGAGGTTGATCAAAAGTCGCAGAGCTGAGGAGGTTGTGAGACAAGTCCAGCTCGGTGATCGAGTCCTGGATGAACTGGGGCACCGATGACAGGCCAGAGGAGGAGCAGTTCAGCAGCGAGGCTCTTTGACAGGTGCAGGATTTAGGACAGGGAGGTGAAGAAGAGGAGCACCAGAGATCCAAGGAAGCCAGAAGCAGCACAACTGCTAAAAAGGACGGGCGGTGTACCGCCATCACCACCCAGCCTTTAAACACCCAATAAACTGAAAATTAAAAAACAAAAACCGTCTCATGAAGTGACTTCATCCCGTTCCGTATCATCACTGAACTTTAAAGATCATTACTCTTTAAATTTACCCTGTGATGAGCAGGATTAAAGAAACCTACCTGTGTATAAGCTCTCACATGAACCTTGTGACTCAAACCATACTGTCCGCAATGTTCTGATCAAAGTCTGAAGATGAATGTTGCTGTTTCAAGCTTAACAAGCCCCAACCCAAAGATGTCACAGTGATTTATTCAATCATTTACACGTCTGGTTAATGTCTTACTGTCATTGTTTTCCTGTCGAAGCATACCAGATAAGCAATCCTGAAAGTTTATGACTAAGAGAACCATGCCCTGGGTGCATATTCTGTCAGATGATAGTGCTGGATAACAATCACAGGTATTTTTTTATGATTTTAAAGGACTATGTGAACATATGAGACACAGGGAAGAAACGATAAGAAGTTTCACATAGCAACAAGTTTCTTTATTCAAAAAACAAGCCAGTGAAATGTTAGGGGATTTTCTTTCAACGTGATAGGCTGCAATGTTGGCACAAGTAGGTAAAAGGAAAAGTTTCTTAACTAAAGGCATTACATCTGAGAACTGCTCCAGTTTCTGCATCAATCCAAGCAAAACAAAACAAAAAAAATCAAACAACAATCCTTTTATAATATATTGCACAAAACTCAAACAACTCTATACAGATTCCACTTTCATCACTTAGCTTGTCAAGAGGTTAGCATTTATATTTCCGTGCAAAAGTATTCCTGCCTACAGGACCTTCCACATGTTGTCAGGTTCAAACAAACTTCAACATATTTTACTGGGATTTTATTTAATACACCTAGCTAGAGAAACAGAGGCACATTGTTACAAAGTGGAAACAGAAAAACAATAAATGATGTTGATTTTACAAATAAAAATCCATTGCAAGCAGTCGGCTTCAGATCCCACTGAAAATTTTACTCATGCAATTGGCAAGTGTGACGTTTATGGAATAAATCCTGCAGATTCCCATAAGCAGAGAGTTAATCATTTGAAAAGAAGGTGCTCTGATCAGATGACAGCTGAAATGGAGCTTCTGGCCTGCATGTGAAACGCAGCGTGGAGCAGAAAACTAACACTAGACATCGCTGTAAAAGCACCTTCCCTTACTGTGACCCATGATGGTGGCAGTATTATGCAGCTGGGATTAATACAGCAGCCTAAGGTTACCGGTAGTTACAAACTGGCCAGGTCAAGATCCACAATTGCAATCATATCAAACAAGATCAAAAAAGAACGTCTAGAAGTTCCGGTTTATTAAAGTCAAATAGGGTAACGACTGATCTTTACTTTAAAATTGGGACATTCTTTTCATATATTCCCCAAAATTGGATGCAAACTACAGTACTGGTACTTCAACCTACAAGGAATCAGAATTTTCATCTTGATAAAAATATTTATTTTATGCAGTTTAATTAAATCCACTTGCAAAAACTTCCAATAGCCCACCTCACAACTTCAAGAGCAACTTCTTAAAAGAGGCATGGATGAAGAGATGCAGATTTTGGATGTAGAGAACAAGCAAAGTTTGTAAGATCCTGGGTGTCCTTAATTTCAAAGAAACATTACAAAAAGAAAAGGTTTTTACGCAGTCATTACCTCGTATTGTGCTCCTATGAAATAACTACGGTAATTTTCGGACTATAAGCCGCGACTTTTCCCCCATTTTTCGACCTTTGCGGCTTATATAACAATGCGGCTTATCTATGGACTTTTACAGCTAACGGCCACTAGGGTAATACCTAAATCTATGGATTTTACCAACCACCATATTGACGTCACATTTACTTCAACACACAAGTACAATAGCCGCGCGCGGGAATGTGAAGGTCCTCCTGAAGCAGACTTCTACCGCGAGTGGTACGTGACCGAACGACAGCGAGAAAGACGGACATTATGAGCGCAAGACAGTTTGTGTTAAACATAAAAAACCTGCGGCTTATAATCCGGTGCGGCTTGTATATGTACAAATCATGCAATTTAGCTTCTGTGGCTTATATTCCGGTGCGGCAAATAGTCAGAAAATTACGGTAATAATATCGCGCTTGCTCTACTGAAGCTCCAAGGAACTCATAGCGGAGCAAAACAGGAGGAACTGCAGCGGCTGTAGGCGTTGCTTAGAGGAGGTGGCCTGGAATGGAGCACAGCGGGGCATTGCGGATGATGTGGGGTAAAATGGATGGTGTATTACTGAAAAATCTGCAGGAAGCTACAAAAGAGTTTAAATCTACAAATTGTTTCACTCTCTGACATTATACAATCAGAGCTACAATGTCTTACTTTAGATCAAAACATATCCAAGTGATAGAATAACCAAGGTAAAGTCTAGAACTATAACCAATAGATTCTTCCTCCAACCTGACTGAGATTTAGCTGTCATCCAAAAAAGAACAGGCACAAAAATGTTTGATCTAAATATATGCAAAGCTGCTAGAAACATACCACATAAAGACCTGCAGCTATAACTGGTTCAAAGTATTACTAATAGTAAGGTGTTACATTATAATATGTAAAATCCTAATAAAATACACAGAAGTTTGCAGTTGGACTTTGATTAAAAACTTCCTCTTAGGAATACTTTTGTAGGAGAAGTTTTCCGTAGCATAACGTTATTGCACACCCTTTCAAATTTGGCATTGTTTGCATTACAAACATTTTGCAGTACAGGTAAAATATAAATTACAGTTCATCCCTTTAAATCCATCTTCAGGTGCATCATAAAAGTTACTGGAGAGCATCGCAGAGAGGAACAAATATCGTTCTTATTTACTAAAGGTCAGCTCAAGTTCTGCAGATTTTTATGCATTTTATTTTACGATTATTATGTAGTGACTTAATTAAAAACACAACCCTTTTGTGAATCAACCTGAGTTGACAGACGCAGAAAAAAAAAATACTGGAGTTTCTGACCATGTTTCTATGAATTTAAGTCAGAGGTTAAACAGGTTCAACTGAGGTCAGATCAAATGCAGAGAACTGTAAGAGGTTTGTTTGATTTGAACGACTGCAGGTAGATGGAACGGTGATGCTAATGAGCTTTTCCACACGGATTGTCTGAGATCTGGCAGCCCATGTTTGGAAACTTCACCAGTACGCGGAACAAAGTCCCATCTTCGCACATGCAGAGCTTGTACCTCTCCAGGCCATCGTTGAACCTCAGGTCTGTGGAGCTGGGGATGCGTGTAGCATTGAACATGACCGACCCGTTGAGAATGATACTGTTCTCCTGCAAAGAAAAACAGTATTAGGGGTCAATTTTTCACAGACTCTACTTTAAGAGGCATTTACATGCGCTTATTAAGGCCATACGTATCAATTAAAGGCTTTGAATTTGCTTTTTAAACTAATTTTGAAAACATTTTGTAACCGTAGACAGATTTTAGTCTATTTTCTGGAACCTTTTTTATAGTTTGTACAGTTGATTTCAATTAATAGATGCTTCAAAATGCTAATGTTACCAAAAATGCATAAAACTGGTGATAAAATGTGGAAATCAGGCGGATGTCAGGCTAATGGACTTCAACTATACTATATACATGGCGATTAAGCTTAAAAAGGGTCTATGGCCAAAGGAACCAACAACTTAAGTGATCTTCAACATTTCTGATAAGAGGTTAGGTTTGCTAGAAGCTTAATGGGGGTAGATGTCTTTATTTGGGCTTATCTGCATAATTATTATGTTCACTCTCAACAAAATCAAGGTTGAGTAGTTTTTCTTTTAAATAAAATAAAGACATCTGCTGTAAAATCCTCCCACTCTGAAAAAAAGCCCAAAATGGATGCAACGGTCATGGCAATGAAGAGTATATTTAAACCTCCTATACGTATATCCATATTATCATGATTCATACTTACAGCCCGGAGCTCGATGTCCCCGCCCATTTTAAACTCTACAGTGCGGCCCATGATGTTCACTCCCTCGTTACCGCGAATGATGGCCTTGCCGTCTCCCCTGATGTTCAGATCAGATGATGCGCTGCTGGTGATCTGGAAATAAAAAAATCTGAATATCTGACTGACTGACATGTTGTTTGCTAATGTTAAAGTGAGAATGAACGAGCTCTGCATGTGAAACAAAAAATTTAAAAATCTGGATGAAAATTACATAAACTTTTTTTGCTCATTTAATACTTCTTCATGCATTCATTGTTTTCACCATTTACTGCATTAAAACACACAATTTTTGCAAGAAACTTAATTAATCCTATCAGCAACTGCATTACTTAACATGTTTAATATTTTGAGCTTCTCTTTCGATAATAACAATAAAAGGTTATAGTAAATGTTGTAAGACACCATGTTTCCTCGCTTTCTTTCCTGCTTGAAGCTCAAATCTAATTTATTTTACGTCGATGACCCTGCGATGGCGATGATTCTTTCTGAGAACAATGTTTCTCTTTATTGTGATGGAAAGCAATAACAACAGCACGTCTTGCGCAGGTTCTAATCCCCCCCATATAATTAATGAATCACTTCATTTACAGTGCCACTATAACAGGGGATGGCAGCCTACACACCCTTTCAGTAGACGCCTTTTTAACACTCAGGACTTTGACTCCTTTGGGAAGATGAAACTCATGGTTTTCAAAGTCTGTGCTGAAGAAGGTTGTCTGCGTCCGAGGGTCTGTGAAGGATATGCCGACGTCACTGGTCACAGAGGTTTTGTCCTTTTCCACGCTAAGCTTAGTGTTGCCTTGCTGGAAAACCACCTGTTAACAACACATCGATGGGAAAGAAGAAGAAGCTCTAGCAGGGTTTTATTTTAGATTATAGGTGTAATTTCATTTTTTTCTCATTTTCTTACCGGATTATTGTTGCCCACAATAACCAGGTCCTGGTCTTTACGGCCTCCCACTGTGCTCTTGTGCAAAGGATGGACGATTCCCATGTCGGCTTTCTGTTTGAAGCGTAGCAGGCCGCTCTGATGGAACTCCATGCTGTCGCAGCCATTGGGCCCGATCCGGATAACCGTCCATATTACCAGTGTGATCTGAGGGCCAGCAGAGTTGCATCAGACTTCCTATATATTTACATTATCTACGCCAATGTTGGGCAGACAGATATAGAGCCCAACTATTTTATCCCACTAATTTACTGCCTTTTATTGCAATTTTATCAGCGATGTAGATTAAGATCAAGCAAACTGAAAGGAAAAGATGCAAGCTTTCAAGCAATAAAGATAAAATTAGATCTGGAAACATGTATGATACACCTTGATTAAAATAAAACATCATCATAAAATGGAAAAAAATCACACCACATCTACGAATGTGCAAATATGTCCAGCTTGAATGCTAAACCATTAAAGGTGAGCATTATTTAGAGAAACAGCTAAGAGAGATTCACCAAGATAACTCTGGAAAGGCTGCAGAGATCTACATTTCAGCTAGAAGAATCTGTGGAAAGGAAATCTATCAGTCAAACAAAAGCTGTAGTTTAGGGAAAATATCAGAAAGAAGAAAGTCTTGTTTACTACAAGTTATGATGAGAACATGAGAAACATCTAAAAAAAAAGGGGCTCCGATTGAGGAAAACTAGCACCATACATTATTCTCAACTCACCGTTCCCTTTGTTGAACAGGGTGGTGGCAGCATCATGCTTTGGGAATGCATTTCTTAAACAGGGAATAAGGAGCCTGATCAGAATTAATAGAAACGTTGATAGAGCTAAATACAGGGGAAAACTAAAAGAAAATCTGCTTGATGTGACAAAGCAGAGTATCAACTCTAAACATACATCCAAAGCAGAAACAGTTCAATACTGAAAGCATATATAATTGTTGAAATGATTCAAACTAAGCCACCCTGAAATTTAGTTGTGAGAATTTGAACTTGAACTTTTGTTTCCAGATTATCTCCATATAATCTTATTTTGAATATTTGGAAATGGATTTTGAAACACGTGCCTTTATTAACTCTGAGATATTTAAGCCAGAATTGCTGTTTAAGCCAGAATGATTTGACATTTAAACATGATTTCCCTATGATTTTGAAATGGTCAAAGAGTTTTTAAAGGCGCTGCTGTCATGGTTTTGGTTTTGTTCAAGTTTTGAGTTTTCATTGGTGATATTTCGATTCCTGTGTTCTAGGTATTTTTGATTGTATTTGAGTTCTTAGATATTTTCTGTTTGCCCTTTTTTTGCGAAATCTGATTTTTTTGCGTTACCGTTCATATTTCCAAATATATGCAACTTGTATGTGATCTCCTGTGTGAACTGCAGTCATGCAACGCAAGTGTCCCGCATGCGCAGTAAAGGACGCAATGACGTCACAGGCCAGCGTACTCTTTTTTTTCCCAGAAGTAAACATGGATGGTAGTGCCAGAGCGCATCTAGCGATCTTTTCCAACCATAAAAACTCTTTTCAATATGGTTAAACATAAATACTGCCCTCTGCATTACGTCCGCCATAGTTGTTGTTTTTCTTGCTGCTTTTTGTGTGTAGCAAGACACAGAATAGTGACCTTTGTCAAGTATTAATGGCGTTCAGGTTGGATTAATGCGACCTGAACGTTCATACATAGGTCGCATTTGAAAAGATCAGATTTGTATCGGATTCAGGACCACATAGCCAAGTGGCCTGGGTTGGATTGGAAAAAAATCGGATCTGTGTTGTTCAGACTGCCATGAAAAGATCAGATCCAGGTCGCATATGGGCCAAAAAATTGGATTTAGTTCACTTCAGGCTGCAGTGGGAACATAGTCTATGTGTCAGTCTCCTTTTCCCTAGCTCCCTTCTTGCCTTCACACCTGCTCCCAATCTGCTAATTAGCCTGGTCTTTGTTTCTCTCTCCCATATAATCTCCTCTTTTTCAGTCACTCTTTGCTGGTTTGTCGTCATTACTTTGTCCCCTTCTTGTTTTGAGTATTCCTAGGTTTCAGTTTTTTTGTGGATTTATGTTTTGGATTTTTGCTTTTTTTGAACTTTTGGTTAATTAAAACCTTCAAGTAACATCCTTAAGTTTTAGTGTCTGCATTTAAGTCCTGTCAAACCTCCTCCTCTGTGACAGTTGCAATCAGACTAAGATACTTACAATGAGATTAATTAAGGCGAGAAGGAAGAGGAGCACGATGATGCAGACAGCCATGTTTCCTTTGCGCCCTCTCAGCCCTGTCTTATGAAGACGTTCTTCTTCTATGGGTACATAGCCTGCTTTGAAGTTACTGTTGTGTTCCTTGTTGATGTTGCGCCTCTCTATGGCCTTCTCGCGCATGGACTTCTTCACTGGGCCATTGGAGCTCTCCTATAAGGAAAAAAAAAACAATATATGTCATTTTACCTTAATAACCACACTGATAAATCAGTAATTCATTGTAATTACAAATGTGTGAAGATAACCCTTGTTAGAAAACCTATGTTACCTACTTTATTCATCCTTTATACAATCAGGATATTGAAATTAGCTTTCCTGAGGGTTAAAGGTTAGCTTAATATAAAGTTTAGTGGCAATAATCGTAAAATTTCTCAGCTCTCTGCATCGGAATGGCTCTTATTCTGAGCGACAGCCAGTCTGTGGTCATTACTAAAAATAAACTACACATCGATTAAAGGTTTGCACAATTTCCTTCATAAACATTCAGATTTTCTCTTTTTTTGTTGTTTGTTATGAAAAACAATTTTGTTTTTCAACAGTAGAATAATATAATTTGGCGTCATAATAAAAACATCGACGCGGAGGCCAGCATTAATTTAGCTGCAGAGATATTTTCATCAACAGCAGGAGCAACACACGGCATGCTTCAATAAATTACTTTAAACTGAACAATATATCACTAAGAACGGGTTCACGTTACTCTTTTAGCAGAAAACATGGAGAAAATGTGTCAGAATAATAGCGGACAGAACATAACGGACCTCCTCAGACGCCATGTTGACCCTCCCTCCTCTGCTTAGAGAGGGAGCGGACCATTCCTCAATGACGAGGGGGGGGGGGCACCGAAGCGGTTCTACTTCAAAGCGACAGATAATCGCTCGGAAATATTTCATTTCCTTATAAAGAACCTAATTGGCTAAGATACTATGAGTATTTTTAATAACCTCATTCGTGGGTTACTGAAGCATTTTGCGTTGAGAATAAAAGATGGTTTGTTCCGAATAAGCAGCCAATAGCAGAATGGTCTTAAAATAGGAGACCCCATCCGTTTATATTTCTGAGGGTAAACTGGAAACTTTCTGGATTTCACTGTTCAAAACGGGAGGAGAAATGTGGATTTTTTTTTTTCTTCAATTGATTAATAAATATTAGACAGTAATGTAATGTAAGTCTCTTTTTTTCAAATATGATATATATTTTTCTTATACCTGCACAGGTATAATGATTCCTTGGGTTAAGTAATAACAACAATATTTATATTAATAACATCTTTTAGATTACTTGTATATACATGAGCACCAGCGGTTCTAACATGAATGGAGCCATGGGCAAGTCCCTCCTTATGGCCCCAACAGAGCATCCATCTGAAAAAAAAAAACGTTGCTGCAACCTACAATTTGTATAGTAATCATTTACTGTATTGTAAATATTGTAAATGGCTCAATGAGAAAATTTTGAGGTACTGAACAGTACTAGTATCTAATTATATTTATCTAGGTTTTTTGCTTGAGTATATTTGGTAAAGACATGCTTTTTTAGGAGTTGTTTAATTGTAGGCCTACTGTACTTCTTACTTTCACTTGAGTAATATTCTGGTGAAGTATTTCTACTCCTACTTGAGTAACATTTCTGGTATGCTTTGTCAACTTTATAAATGGAGCTATTGAGAGATCATGTGAGTATATAGTAAATGTTCAATGTTGACCATGAAAGTTATTTACCCTGCTTTAAGGCTTGATTTTACAATTTTTTGTTGGAAAATATTGCTTTGAAATAAGATGTGATGAACCAACAAGTAACCTTATTGACAAATACTTTTTTGCTCTTACATTAGTCATTTCTTGGATTACTTTTTTTTTTTTTTTTTTTTTTTTACTGGGTAAAGAAATGTTGAAATAGTGTTCAAATAGTACTTAGTATAAGTAAAAAATGTTTGGGTACCCTATCCACCTTTTTTTGTGTCACAGAACCCTATTAGCTGCAGGGATGCTGTAGCTGTTCTTCCTAGAGTCCAACAAAAAGGTACATTGCATAAAAATAAAATACATTATTTGTAAACACTCCAACCTAAATAAAATAAAATAAAATAAAAGACTAGATGTGACCTCCAGAGAGGAATCACAAAATAAATCAAAAGGTGCTTCCTCATAAAAATAACCAATGACATTTAGGTGCTATAAATAAATTACTCAGCAAGTAACATAAAATTCAGTTAGTTAGTTAGTTACCGGTAGTGTTGGTCAAAAGCGTACTCGTTGCAGTAAAAGAGGGGTTATGGATTATAGAAATAGATAAGATTATAATCGGATTGTTTGGGGTCTCTATAGTCACGTAGATCTACAACACCTAGATATGTTTAACTCCTTGTTTCAAGTTTCTTTGGGTTTACTCTGCAGCTGTTTGGTTTCGTTTTACAATTTCGCGTCACGGAGACACAGAACCCAGAGAGTTGCTGAAAATGAGGTTGATTTTCGCGCCTGGAGTGGTTGAGTAGCAGCTCTATGTGTTTGGCTCTGTTCCCGGCTCCTGGCCTTGTTGCCACAGGCGCTGCTCTGTGGGGAGGAGAAAGCTGCAGGAATTTTTACTACTGCGGATCAAGCTTCTTGTTACTGCCCTCATCTTCATCTTCATCCTTTCCCTCCAAACCTTAGAGGCTCCAAGGATTACTGGATTAATTCAGACCGACATGGCAGCGACTTTAAGGAGATTGACCAATACGTCCTCATTCACAGTTTTACAGGAGAAGCTTGAGAACTGGCACAGAGACTACCATGTAAGTTCATCAATAAGTCATCTTTGACCTAAATCTATCTATGAATTGTGCTTTTTTTTTTTTTACTATGTTAACGAATTATAATTTAATGTAAGAAGAAGGCGACCGTCCGTAAAATTATTGTATTTTTTTTAAACGTCACAGTAAGAGGTTACTGATTTTTCTGTCGAGTTTTGGTTGCTGCGGACGCTAATCGCCATGGCAACGGTTGGACCGTTCCAAAGATATTTTCATGTCAAGATGCTTCCTCTCCCATGTTTTCAGTAGAAAGCCGATAAAAAGCAAAACGTTCATTAATCTTCATCAATGAAAATTGATTTGTCATAAAATGTACATTAACAAGGTAAATGTAGGCTTTTGTCTCTGCATCATTTTCTCTGTTAATTAGCAGCTTAAATAAATCTATTTAACATGCTCAACTACAATAAAATATGAAAATTACTAAAGCTTTTTACAAGCAGCCCTTGGGTAGTGGGTAAAACAAATTAGTGCTCATGTCAACATTTTCAATATTTGGTAAATTGATTACGGCATGTTGAAAGTAATGCTACACTTTGGCAACCAATCTAAGTAACAAGTAGCAATTAAATTTAATTAAATTCAGAGTTTATTTATATTGGCCAATACACAGTAAATAAAAGGCACTTTATAAGGCAGATGTTCCAATTTACATATGGGCATATATAATCTAATCATCTTACATGATTTCAGTCTTAAAACCTTAAAAGGCTAGAATTTGTTTGGTCATTTTTCTTAACCAGCACATGTTCAAAAGACTGTGGAAAATGTAAGCTACATGGGTGGTAAAACATAGGATGAATCTACTAAAAAGTCTTTACATAGTGACTCTAGCTTGTTTTTTTGTTATTTTTTTGTTTTGTTTTTTTAATGCTACCGTCAAGAAAATCACAGCAGCCAGTTGTGGTATTAAAAGCTCTGTTAAAGCATTAAATAAAACTTGATATTGTGGAGGTATTACACATAACCGTCCTGTGATTGTTGTATAAAATAAACATCCATTAAGCATCTGTAAAATAAAAAAAAGCTGTGTTAATGCCAAGTGGTAGTTTTTATAGCCTTTGTCAAATCAGATTATGTAAACACTTTTATTTTGTTAAATTTTGATTCTTTATTGCATTCTTGTCCAATTGTAAAAATCATCTTATATTTTTCAGACATGTTGATTTTTTTTTGCATGCCAGGAGAGTTCAGAATGAGGAGCACGTGCTACATTGCATGATAACAAACCATCTAGCATATTTATTCATTCACGTATTGAAAATCTTTTGTTTTTATGCAGGTTTTTTCCTGCGAACAGAATCTGAACAGATGTTGTGAGTTGATCGAGCTCACTGCCAAGATCCAAGGCCAGCTGTTTGCTATCCTAAACCTTGCTGCAGCTGAAGGTAGGGTTCTCATTCGCTATTTCGGGAGCAGATTTCTTTTAAAAACCAAACTTGATCTTTTAAAAATGACTTGATACTTTTTTCAGGTGGTCAGTATGCTGGAGTTGACACTCTTAAAACACGTCTCCTTCCTTGGCTTGGAAACAGTTTCTCCATTTCAAGGCCCTCTGTCACTGAAGACACCAGCATGCAGCTCATCCAGGTCCCCAGTCATAATTTACGCTGCTTTCATCCAGTTTAATAATACAATCATCCCTCTGTTCATTGTGGTGATGTGGTTGCATATTTTGATGTACCAGGATTCAGCAGAGAAGGACAGACAGCTCAGGGAGCTCTCTTGCTCCCATGAGAGCGACATGAAGAAGATGGAGGTTCAGCTGATCTCCAATCGCCTCCAGCTGGACTCGGTCACTGCAGAGTGAGTCATAATATCAGAAATAATACATTAAGGAGGTGTTTTTACTGTGATGAAACACTTTAGTACCAATGATTTCTTGTTTATTTATATTTATTACCAGGCTCGTGGATGTTCAGAAGGAGCTGGAAGAAACAAAGAGGAAGTCAGCGACCACCCTACTCGCCACCGAGGATGAAATCTTACAGCTCAAATCAGAGTGAGGGATGCAGTTCAAAAGCATCAAATTATACCTGTTAGAAATTCTTTTTCACAAAGTTGATCTTTTTTTTAGTTTACGTTCTGCAAATGAGAGGTTGGAAATCTATAAGAGGAAGCTGGAGGCTCTTGATGACTATGAGCGACAAATTCGCTTGTTGAAGGATGAAGTGTCCTATCTGAACACAGAGAAGGCCATGCTGCAAGAGAGGTACAGCTAATGCAAAACACTGGATGGGCTAATTCTGATGTTCCATCGGGTCCTACTTATACGCTTACACCGATACTCATTGAGATTTTCACATTTTGTCTTGTTGAAAACCTAAAATTATTTTTATTTTATTGGGACTTTAGTTTATACACTAACATAAAGTAGTGCACAACTGTTACTTTGCGATCTATCTGACAAGTAAAAAATAAAAAAGGGAGCTGGCAGTTATATTTATCCCTCCAGGTTCAGTAGCTCAATCAAAACTACAAGTCATCTGGAGTACATTTCTCCCTGAATTTACAATTAGGCTTGTTTGTCGACAACTAGGGCTGCAACTAGCGCTTATTTGATTAATATTAGTTGATTAATCTGTTGACTATTTCTTCAATTAATCGATTAATAGTCGGATAGAAAAACAACCCTAAAGAAGCTGGTGAATCTTCTCAGTCGTCCAGGTCATAGTCATTCCAAAAAAAGAAAATTAAAAACAATCAACTGGACTTTGCTTCCAAGTTTGAAGATGTTGTGCTTCCCTTCTGTTTTTATACCTACAAAAACAGAAGGGAAGCACAACATCAAAGAAGAGAAACACATCAAATATGCTCTTCAAACCTGTGGATACCAAAACTGGGCATTTGTCAAATCAGCAAGGAAATCCAAAAGACACGCAGCAGAACATAACAGTGAGAATATTAAATGAAAAAACATCCCCATCCCATATGTTGCATGAGTCTCTGAAAAACTCGAGAAGATTTTCTCCAAACACAATATACCAGGAAATTTCTAACAAAACAAGACCCTTAGACTTAGACTGGTGCA